GGAGTAGAGGATTTGAATGCATGTTTAGGTTGAGCTAGTTGTCATTGATTGTGATTATGAAGGTGCGGCTAAGATTTTTGAAGTAGAGAACATCTTTTGCGCTTTAGACCTTGGAACTAGGTTGTTGATTCAATTTCTCTTCTCGGCTTTCACTTGACTCTATTGCTCAGAGAACACTCTTATGCTTGGTTGATGTTTGCTTGAGGGCAAGCAAAGACTAAGTGTGGGGGTGTTGATGTACTCAACATTTGCATACATTTAGCCTCTCATACTGCATAGTTCTGTGTATAATTGAGTCCCATTTCATAACATTTAGTGTAGCTTTAGTCTACTTAGGATCATTTAGCCTTTAGGATAGCATTTTGCATTTCCATTGCATTTGGGGTGCATTTATCAGGTATTCGGAGCTTATGGCGAAGGAAGGGACCGGAGGTGATGATCGGAGATGGACCAGAAGGAGATCGGAGTAATCGGATGGCAAAACAAGCAAGACGGAACAGAGCCTTGAGCAAAGGAAACAGAGTGCTTGAGGAAGTTGCTCAAGCTGCGCGCATCTGTGAAGTCAAAGCAAAAACGTTGACCAAAGGATACACTTTTCCCTTCTCTATATAAACCTTTAAGACCTAATTTTTAGGCAATCTTTATCTTGTAACCAGTTTCTCTCCAAGAAAAACAGTTTGTTCTTGGAGATCTTTTGTAAGCTTTTACTTTGAATCTTTTAAGTTTAAGAAGTACTTAGTTTGCTAATCTTGTCTTAATGATGATTTCTAGCTTTCTTTACCTCTTTGCTTTCGGTTCGAGTATGAGTAGCGAGTAGTTCTTTAGAGGTTTCGAGGGTGAGATTAGGAAAGGTCAGAGCTTTAGCTTCCTGTTAACCTCTTCCTTAATCTCCCTTGACCAGCTTTTCTTTAGCTAGAGCTTTATATCTCGGCTTCTTCTTGATCACTTGAAGTCGCGAATCTAGGCTAGTACACCTAGAAGGTGTTTGCGTTAATGCCTAAGAGAGCTAGCGATAGAGAGAAACATTCCCAACCTAAGAGATTGGTTGTTGGGATGTATCTTGTGCACTTTTAGACTAGATCTTGTGAAAGCTTGTAACTTTGAGTCCACTAGCGAGAGCTAGCTTTGGATTCTCAGCTTGCAAAGCGATCTGACCACGAGAGTGGCGGATTTACCCAAAGTCTAAGCACAAAGCTTGAGTCTTGGTGTGTTGAGAAAGGAAGGTTGAGCTCGTTTGATCCCAACTAATCTCACCCAAGACGCCTCCTTTATCTTTTATTGTTAAAGTTTAAATCTTTATTTCATCTTGTTAGCTTAAAGCATAGATCTTTACAAAACAAAACCCAATCTTTTATCGAAACTTGATCTTTGCCTTTTCTTTATTTCGATAGTTTAAATCTCCACTTGGATTGACATCTCAAATACTACAATGACATGAGTGGTATGGATTGAGAGTAGTTGATACAAAAATCCTACTTATCAGCGGGTCAGGTTGGTGACATTTCCAACGACGTTCTTGAGAGTGTCCCACAGCTCCTTGGCCTTCTCACAGAATGAGTAAGCTTCAAGAACCGATACGTCAAGAGCGCTTTGAAGAATGGCAAGAACGGCCTGATCCTCTTGAAACCATTTACTTTCCTCGGCCAAGACAACGGCTTGAGTAGCGGCGGCTGGAGGAGGAACGATGGTGTCGTGCTCGATGTGAGGCCACAGACCTCGGCCACACAAGACGGCTTTAGCCGTTCTGGACCACAAGAGATAGTTGTCTCCTCCCTTGAGAATCACCGGAAGTACGACTGACTTGTTGTGCTCCATTTGACGTTTGAGAGCTTGATTGGAGAATCTTTTTCCGCTGGACAATAGAGTGTACCCACCGAGAAGTTATGGACCGCTGGGTAAAGAGTTTCACCGGGGAACGTTCTAGAGCGGCACGTGAGTGCTGTTTGACTGAGCTGCTTCGGACCGCTAGATAATAGGGTGTACCCTCCGTGGAACTATGGACCGCTGGACAAAAGATTCTCGGAGAAATGAAATAACTCGGTGCGTGAGTGAGAGTTGACTGAAATGCTATGGATCGCTGGACAATAGGGTGGACCGGTCGTGAGAACAAGGTTATCCACCAGATAATAGAGTGAATCACCGGAGTTCTTGAGAACAAAGAAGAATCTGGGAAGAACGAAGAACAAGTCTCACAACGAGAAACCGAATGAAACAGTTGAATAAAAGGCTCAAGAACTGAGCAAAGAAAAGCTTGCACTTGCAAGAACAAAAACAGAATAAGATCGAAGAGCTTACCTCTCTGATACCATGTAAGATTTTAGAAAAACACTTTTAAGAACTTGTGAATGATTTGAGTGGAATGAAAGAGAGAGATGGAGCGATAAGAGAGAAAGAGTTTCTTGAAATAAGAATGATTTTATTTCCAAAAGTTAATCTTTACAAAGGTAGATACAATGCTATTTATAGACAAGTCAACAAAGAGAATAAACAATAAAGAATAGTGTTCAACGGTCGAGAGAGATAACGACGTGAGGAGACAGTCAAGGCTGGGTTGGTTTTAAGACGGAGAGCAGGACCGGCGTTGAGGCAAGCCAAGTGAGGCTTTTGGTTTGGCCCCCACATTTTTGTTAAGAAAATTTGTATAGATTTTGGCCTCAAAATGAAAAAAAAATCAATTTTTAGCCCCAAAATTCATCAAAACCTTACTAAATTATTCTGACCCCCCATTTTTCAGAGCCGGCCCTGACGGAGAGTGACTTGCCTTGAACGGTCAAGTGTACAAGGAACCCGTGACTTCTTCTTCTCTTCATTCTTTCTTTTGTCAACGTAAACCTTAGGTAAGTTGACAAGAATCTCAAGAAGCATCTTAATGGAATCTTCTCTTGATTAATACGTTTGACGGTTTAGTTTTGATAGTTTTAGTAAAGAGACACAAGTGTGAAGTGACACAACTCTTGTGTTGTTGTGTCTGTTTGTGATCTATAAAAACCATTGTTGTTGTAATGTAAACAATCAAGTTTCAGAGTAATAAACAAAATTCCTCGTAATTGTTCTTCTTCACAAGATAAGAGATAAACTTATCTCTTACTCTGTTTTTGTCTAATTCTTTCTCTCTCTGTTCTGTAAAAACAAATTCAGCACTACCCACCTTCAAATCAAATTGCTCTTACCATTTGCAAGTTCTCCACGTATTGGCTTTTCTAATTTTCAGCAAAACTCACATGTAAAACTCTTAACTCACTCTGTACAGTCTTATTTCTCATAAATATTAACCCACAAAAAAAAAGCAGATCAGTAGCTACTGTTATGCCCAAGTATTTTTTTCCAGCAACATATCAGTCACACAAGCAGAACCAAAAGTGAATTCAACATCATTGTAATCTCTGACAAAACTATTATCACTCCATAGATACTGACTGAATCAAACTATCAATTCGAAATAAAATCATTAGAAGTGAAAGCCCAAAATAAAATTTAGATATCTTTGAATCAAAACAAAACCCAAAAAGCTTGGATTAGATCGATAGATGAAACCGCTAAACGCAGGTTTTTTCTTTTATATCAATTTAAAGATGTTTGTCTATTTGCGATTGTATCCGAGAAATGTTATTAATGTCTTAGAGTAACGTGTTTATACCGTTCAAGTACTAAAATTGATTGTTTGAATTGTTGTGCTAAATCTCATTTTTTGCGACTTTCTCTATGTAAACAATGTTCCCCTATTTTGGTTGATTTGTTGGTGGCGTCCATGGAGATGTGATTTGAGAGGAGGCTAAACAATGTTTTGATTATTTTAACCTATTACAAAAATGTAAAAATAGCATATTTCTTGCTTTGATGTTTTTGCAGAATAATATAGAGTAATTTATACATTTTTAGAGATCACGTAATCATGCTAGGAAACAATATCAAACGTCATGGCAAAAATACTTTACTCCTTATCACGCAAAGAAACTTCTGACATACAAAAAAAAAACACACACACACAAATTCTGTCAAAAAGTATAATGAAGGAACAACAAACTTTTGGCTATGGGTGAAAATAGTTTTAATGAGGATGACCAGTCTTATCTTGTTTAAATATTAACGATGGTTTCATCCGCAACTAATTATACATTTCTCACCAGCATTGTTAGATCCGAGATAGCACTCGTCAAGACGGGCTATCAAAGATGTGAGTTTAGGAAACTGGAATGCTTAATTCGACTCTTAGATTATCAAGAAAGTTACAAGGAAGTAATCTCGCTAACAAGCCTAGCGAGATTATAGTGATGAACAAGAGGAGAGAGTAAAAGCGGGTGTAAGGCCTAGTGATTCTAGATGATTTCGGATGCCTTTTCCCCAATGGGGGGTCTTCAATATATAGTGTTGATAACTCGGCCGAACGATGAATATTCTCTTCGGGCGAGATGGAAAACTTCCTCTTTTGCGATATGGAAAACTTCCTCTTGTTCTTGATCTCCTTCCATTCTTTAAGTCGGCATGAAGATTTATTTACATTTCTCCATGGATTGTGCCTTCCTTCTCAAGTCTTGCCTTTTTCTTCAGGAAGTTAGGCCTAAAGTTGGATTGGGCTTTGTGACTTTACTAATGATGACGGGCTCAGGGAAATGTGCTAATTTCTCCTCTAACAATAAGTCCCCCCGCCAGCTCGGCAAGTCAAATGCAGTTTGATCTCGGCGAGCTTCATGAATAGGGTGAGCTTAAGAATCATTAGTAAAATACACTATTCCAATCGGATTTTAGTGCCTATGTGCATGCTGAATGTAGATTCGTGCCGCCTCATTAAAACCTTGGTACGGAAAAACCCAATTGGGACAAAAACCATAAAAGGAAAAAGAGTGCGTTGACTTTTGCCGAGACAAAAATGCTTCTTGGTTTGAATACTTTGACGAGCTCGGTTTTTATCTGTGACTGGGCGATTTTGCCACGTCATTGCCCAGGTGGACTTATTTGCAATTGCGTGGGCTGAGTCCGATAGTCGATTAAATCGCGCGGAGGCCCAAGCCCATTAATGCTTTTCCCTTGAGCGGGAAAGAAATGAATAAAAAATTCATAAGGGCAGTTGTGTCCCTTGGAAGTCGCGCGATCTCTATTAAGAGACCGTTCGAATTTCCTTTATTCATTTTCGCTTCTTTTCTTCTTCTCACTCAACCGTCCCGACGAATCAAAGGTAACTTTCTCAATCCGACTTCAAATCTTATCTCGATTAATTCACCGAATCGATTTTGCGGGATTTAGGACTAGGGAATCACGAATTGCTCGAATCTAGTCAGGTTGTGCTCTGATTTCGTCTTCTCATCCGCCGATTCGGGTTTTAGGGTTTTTGGTTCGTCAAGTATTCCGTTACTCCAATCTTCGAATTTCCGAATTTTCTGTGTAATCGGGATGGATTCGCGAGATAGAAAGGGTAAGGGTGTCGCCATGGATGATGATGACAAGACCAAGCGTCGGGCCCGGTCATCCGACAATCCCGACAGGCTTCTTGGCGAGGCCATCCGTTCTGACGCGGCCGAGGCGCGTCGGAGAAAGGCTGCCGAAGCGGAAGCCGCGGCGGAGGCCGAAAGAGTGGTCGAGAGGGCTGAGATGGAAGAGGCGATAAGAGTTGCTGCCGAGGCCGAGCGTCGAGAGGCGGCGGAAAAAAGGATGAAAGCAAGGGAAGAGTGACTGTTAAATACAAAGAGGATTAGGTTTAAGGTCAAAGGGAAGTCAAGGGGGAAGCAACATTTTTCGGGTTTGACTGTTGACTTCTCAGCTCGATCGAGTTGAAGCTTGGCCGGTCGAGTTGAGGAACTCGACCGGTTGGTCGAGTAGATGGTCGAGCTGGTCTTCAAGATGGCTTCCTCCTTCTTCCCTTGCGTATCCAGTTGAGCTGCGTCCATGCGCCAAGTCCTTCCATGCTCCTCACGTCCCATATGCTCCAGAATGCTCCAAAAGACCTATTTCAAAGGACCAAACATGCATATGTATGCAAATGCAACCTAAAACTACTATGAATGCATAATAAGAGAAAAGGAACAAGATATGATGCTAATGGATGCTAAAACTATGCAAAAGATGCATAAAAGATGTACCAAAACTATGAAAAATGCAAGTACATCAACATCCCAGAGGAATTGAAAAACTTTAGCAGCAGAATTCGAAGCTGATAAACAAGATGTGTGACAGCGGCTCGGGAATCAATAAGTTTCGGATCTGAAGGAAGATTAAACATACCGGTTTGCAAAAATAGAGAGTAGCAAGCTTCCATGGTCTTGTGACAAGATAAAAAGCCCCAAATTGATTTGTATGTTTTAACCTAAGATTTGCTGAGGTCCTCTTATAATACTTTGAAACGCGGCGTATCGTAGATTGCGAAGAATGGGAGTGGGAAACCCTTATAAGCGGGATGTTTGTGGGTCGAAAGTGTTCGGTCGCGTATCCACATTTGCTTGGGACCTAACGTTGTGGACAGTGACGATATGGACAGTCTGTGGCTTGACAGGTAGTTAAGTTAGTAATTCCATCCATCAAGTAGTGGTGCATGTGAATATCAGCGGGTGTTCAGGAGTAATGATGTTTCTTGATTTTAGTAGGAAGGGGTGCATGTGAACATCAGCGGGTGTTCAGGAGTCCTCCCGTGGTGAAGACCACGTGGACGGCTACTCCATGTAAAAGCAGATATTTAGGTCCCGTTTAGTTATCCAATCTAGTGGGACCACGTGGACGGCAATTCCATGTTGATGTGGACACATCGGCATCGGGTAATGAATCAATCAGGGGCAACTTCGCACTGTAATGCGTAATGCGGTATGATGAGCCACTTGACACTGAAATATTACGTTCGCAGCTATTTTTCATATCGTTATTGTTGGCATCCATGAAATGTAATCCACGCAGACATAGCATTCACAACGGGCGAAATTTTTTTTTTTATCGTGTACGTACTGGAAGTAACCATAAAATATGGTTCTTTGTACGAAAACATAGATTTCTAGGCAGACAACGTACCAGAAATACACAGTTTTACCCACAAAACATAATAAGATTACGGAATGATGAAGTTAACCCAGTTGGGAACAATATTTTTCCGGTTATAACTTTAACATCACCTACAAAAGCTTAACTTAAAAATAGCAAATAGAAAGTAGATAAGTGGATAACCGCACCCATGAACTTCAAATAAGGGCTTTGCAGCTGGTTCTGTTGTGTCCAGCTCCTAAGCACCGGGAGCACTTGTTAGGGACCGTTTTTTTCACTCTTGCTGCCTACAATCAGATAAGTTTGTTGGGACATGAGCAATGAAAGGATGAAGAAGTGTAGATATAATTGGGAGAGAGGATGACTTACTGGGACTTCGCCGGTGGATGGAATCCTTACTTCCTTAGGCCTCCCAGACGGCCGATGTGTATTAGGCGGCACTACATTTTTCTCACCCAATTCTTTTGGTAGGTCGTAATCAACTCCTTCTTCAGGCGGTTGATGATAGGATTTGTGTGTGGTGAAAGATGATATGAAGTGTATGAAATGATATGAGGTGGAATGCAAACAGTGGTAAATGAAGATGAGATGGTATGGTAATCACAATCACAATCAATCAATTCCCCTTAACCATCATAGTCGATGTAGTATAAGGGGTTATCAATCCATAAGGGTTTGTTGCTACTCTATGAGAATATGCAAACACAAGAAAGTCAAGCAGACAGTAAAGATGATGATAAGTAACTCTAGCAACCTAATGAAATGAAATGCAATGCAGAAAGTAAAAGAAAACAGTAAATGAAAGCAGCTCGACCAAGGGCTCGATCGAGTGGAAACAGAGTAACCAAGCTCGTCGAGTTGAGGGTCGAGTTAGCGTAAAAACAGAGGAAAAGCGATAAAGACACGAACTTTAATACGATAATGCGAAGGTTAGGGTCTAAGACAGGGTCTTGCGACTAGGGGAAGACTATACTTAATCAATCTTGCTCATTAACCACTTGTACTCAAGCTATCTCTTGGTATTGAGCTTCTCAAGCCTAGCTAACCCTTTCCCAAGGTGAAAGCTATCATCTAAGGCAAGATCTCAGAAACAGGGGGTTAGCCAGTGAGAATCAAGCCTTAGAGGCAGTAGGATCATTGCTCAAACTAACCCATCCAACACCTATAAACTCCATTTCGAGAGCAAGCATATTGGAGCTCTTAGTGGACCTTTTCAAGCGATTTCCCAACACTTCCATGAGGAAAATCGCCTAGACTCATACATGCCAGGGATAGTGGTCATGTAGCCTTAAGGCTTGTCCAAAAGAGAGAGATTTCTAGGTTAAGAACATAAAGCAAAAGAGATTAAGCATAAGGATCCTCTAGTCTAGCCCATCTTGGACCCTAAGGATAACTACTCACTACACATAACGAAATACACAATCAAATGCAATGAAAGAGACATAATATGAAAGAGGGAAAAAACTAAAGAACTTTTATTGAAATAAGCAAGTGCAAATACAGAAAGATAAGGCCTAGATCTAAGGTTCAAGAGCAAGAGCTCAAGAACACAAAGAGAGGCTTAGGTTTTGCAAAAAGTAAAAATACAATTAAAGAAAAGCTAAAACGAAAATAAGCTAAAGATTGTTGTCTTTTTCGTGGCTACAAGCCTTTAAATACAAGAAGGATTAGGTTTAGGGTCAAAGGGGAGTCAAAGGGGAAGCAACATTTTTCGGGTTTGACCATTGACTCCGCAGCTCGATCGAGTTGGAACTTGGCCGGTCGAGTTTGAAACCGGTTGGTCGAGTAGATGGGTCGAGCTGACTTCAAGACGGCTTCCTTCTTCATCCTAAGCTTGTGCGGTTGAGCTGAATCCATGCACCAAGTCCTTCCTTGCTCCTCACGTCCCAATTGCTCCAAAGTGCTCCAAAAAGACCTATTCAAGGATCAAACATGCACATGTATGCAAATGCAACCTAAAACTACTATGAATGCATAAGAAGGGAAAAGGAACAAGATATGATGCTAATGGATGCTAAAACTATGCAAAAGATGCATAAAAGATGTACTAAAACTATGCAAAATGCAAGTACATCAGCGGTGTTATACAATCATCGTAAGTTTGAACCCATTCTGTTGGTTTGAGATTGTCCCCGACCATGGAAGAATAGGGAAGACCCAAACTATCCACAACAATCATTGCATTTCCACATGGAATCTTGAGCTTATCAAACATGCGGCAAGTGCATTTCTTCTCTTTCAAAAGAACCTGATGCTTTTCCCCAAATCGGCCAACGACTTGAACGCTCCGGGAAGACATCATGTTGATTTTACTGCTCTTGCAAGCAGCCAAATTTTCAGTTAGGACCTGATGTACTTGCATTTTACATAGTTTTAGCACATCTTTTATGCATCTTTTGCATAGTTTTAGCTCCATTTGCATCATATCTTGTTCCTTTTCTCTTCTTATGCATTCATGTTAGTTTTAGGTTGCATTTGCATACATATGCATGTTTGGTCCTTTGAAATAGGTCTTTTGGAGCATTCTGGAGCATATGGGACATAAGGAGCATGGAGGGACTTGGCACATGGAAGCAGCTCAACTGGATACGCAAAGGAAGAAGGGAGAAGCCATCTTGAAGACCAGCTCGACCGTCTACTCGACCAACCGGTCGAGTTCCTCAACTCGACCGGCCAAGCTTCAACTCGATCGAGCTGAGAAGTCAACAGTCAAACCCGAAAAATGTTGCTTCCCCCTTGACTTTCCTTTGACCCTAAACCTAATCCTCTTTGTATTTAAAGGCTCTAAGCCACGAAAAAACCACCAAGCTTTAGATTATTTTGTTTTAGTTTCTTTTAATTTATTGTCTTTTACTTTTTAGAGCTCTAATCCCATCTTTGTGTTCTTGAAGCTCTTGCTTCTTGAATCCTAGATCCTGGATAATCTCTTTGTATTTGCACTTGCTTATTTCAATAAAAGTTGTTTAATTTCATCTCCTCTTTCTTATGATGTCTCTTTTATTGCATTTGCTTGTGTTTACATTCATGTGTAGTGAGTAGTTACCCATTAGGGTTTGAGATGGGATAGATTAGAGGTTTCATATGCTTAATCCTTCTAGCTTATGGTCTTAATCTAGATTCTCTCTCTTTTGGATAGATCTTAAGGCTACATGACCACTACCCCTGGCTTGTAAGTCCTTAGGCGACTCCCCACACGAAAGTGATGGCATTCGCTGGAAAAGATCCACTAAGAGCTCCAATATCTCTTGCTCTAGAAATAGAGGTCTAAGGGGTTGGATGGATTAGTTTGGGCAATGATCCTATAGCCTCCAAGGTTTGATTCTCACTGGCTAACCCCCTGTTTCTGAGATCATTCCTTGGTTGATAGCCTTCACCTTGGGAAAGGGTTGGCTAGGCATTGAGAAGCCCAATATCAAGAGAAGCCTTGATACAAGGAGTTTTAAGAGCTAGATTGATTAAGTGTAGATTCCTTTGATTGCAAAACCCTGTCTTGAACCCTAATTCTCTCTATCTTGTTAAAGTCGTCACCTTTAGCTTTGTTTGTCTCAACTCGTCCCTAAACTCGATCGAGCTGGTACTCTGTTCTACTCGACTCGAGTCTTGGTCGAGCTACTTCACTGCTTTGTTTACTTTTGCATTTCATTTCTTTTCATTTAGGTTGTTAGTGTTACTTCAAATCTATTACTGCTTGCTTGACTTCCTGGTTGTTTCATATTCTCATAGAGTGACAAGTTTCCCATTTTGGATTGATAACCCTTTGTACTACATCAACTATCATGGTTAAAGGGAATTGTTGACTGTGTTTGTGTTTGCATCTTACCACCTCATCATATACCACTGATTGCATTCCACACATCTCATTTCATATCTTTTCACATCCACACACAAATCCTATCATCAATTTGGCGCCGTTGCCGATTTGGGAATATTTTTGTTGCATTTGAGTTTCAAACACACTTGGACGATCAAGCTATACCACCCCTGTTCTATTGTACTGCTGGGTTTTTCAGCACTGGCTCCGAAGCAACGACGACGTCGTCAACCGGTACGGCGGTCCTCTTTCTAAGACCCATCGGTTTCTTCTTGAGTCGGGGCGACCTCGCTGAGACAGAATAAAGCTTGATGCTAAGTGATCCACGACAAAATCAAATATGAGAGAAAGGTGAGATGCTTACTGGATACTGGAGTCACGGAGACGGCAGGCTTGCTTCTCCCTTCTTTCCTCTCCTTCCTCTCTCTCTTCTCTCTCTCAAGTTTCTCCACGACCTCGGGCCAGATCTTATGACTAAGATCCCTCAAAGCTTTGAATTTGTCCTTAAGGGCGCTGCTCGGCCTCGCCCGCCTTAATGGCTCTGCCAAAAAAGAAGAGACACCAAAATCAGAAAAAAAGCATTTCAATAAACGCGACGAGCTGAACAATTCTACCAATGTTCTACCCGGCGAAGTGACCCAATCGGTTTTAATCTGCTCGGATTTAAAATTCCCAACCGACGCCCTGCTAATCTTCACAAAAAAGAAGTAGCGCTTCTAGTCGGGGATCCTATCCCGATAGTCACCGAAAACGATCCTATGTCGCATCGCGGTGTGGAAACGCTTGAAGTTCCCCTCCCATTTGGATCCGGCGCGAAGATCCGTGACGTTCTCGAAAAGATGGCGATCGAACATGACGTTCGCGGCATTCGCTAAAGCTTCCGTGAAAAGCATATGACGAAAGACGCCGTGGGTCAGCTGGCTCACGGCGACACCTCGTTCAGCGGCGAATCTCAGCAGCAAGAAAGGCAAAGGGAATTTCATCCCGAACTCGGTGAAAGAGCATTCGTAAACGCATATCCATCCCGGCGGAGCATCGTAAGGCCTTTCATGCTCTTTCGGAATCCAGAACTCAATACAACCCGAGAAGCCGACTCTCTTCGTCAGCGCTGTGAGAATCTCAGGAGTCATCCACGTCCTGCCATCCGTTATACGCGGCATTTTGGATTTAGCATGCTCCGGCATCTTGATAATCTCGGGGATACCCTTCAGGCGAGGACGGTCTGGAGCCTCTTCGTCATCGCGTTCCGAATCAGCATCAGAGTCGTCTGACGGGATTCCGTCGTGATATCCCTCCTCGGAGGGCTAGAAGCCACGAAAAAACCACCAAGCTTTAGATTACTTTTGTTTTAGTTTCTTTTAATTTATTGTCTTTTACTTTTTAGAGCTCTAATCCCATCTTTGTGTTCTTGAAGCTCTTGCTTCTTGAATCCTAGATCCTGGATAATCTCTTTTGTATTTGCACTTGCTTATTTCAATAAAAGTTGTTTATTTCATCTCCTCTTTCTTATGATGTCTTTTTATTGCATTTGCTTGTGTTTACATTCATGTGTAGTGAGTAGTTACCCATTAGGGTTTGAGATGGGATAGATTAGAGGTTTCATATGCTTAATCCTTCTTAGCTTATGGTCTTAATCTAGATTCTCTCTCTTTTGGATAGATCTTAAGGCTACATGACCACTACCCCTGGCTTGTAAGTCCTTAGGCGATTCTCCACATGGAAGTGATGGCATCGCTGGAAAAGATCCACTAAGAGCTCCAATATCTCTTGCTCTAGAAATAGAGGTCTAAGGGGTTGGATGGATTAGTTTGGGCAATGATCCTATGGCCTCCAAGGTTTGATTCTCACTGGCTAACCCCCTGTTTCTGAGATCATTCCTTGGTTGATAGCCTCCACCTTGGGAAAGGGTTGGCTAGGCATTGAGAAGCCCAATATCAAGAGAAGCCTTGATACAAGGAGTTTTAAGAGCTAGATTGATTAAGTGTAGATTCCTTTGATTGCAAAACCCTGTCTTGAACCCTAATTCTCTCTTAGCTTGTTAAAGTCGTGCCTTTAGCTTTTTTTTCAACTCGACCCTAAACTCGATCGAGCTGGTACTCTGTTCCACTCGACTCGAGTCCTTGGTCGAGCTGTTGCTTACTGCTTTTTTACTTTTATTGCATTGCATTTCATTTTTTAGGTTGTTAGTGTTACCCATATCATTTACTGCTTGCTTGACTTCCTTGTTTCATATTCTCATAGAGTGACAATTTCCCATTTTGGATTGATAACCCTTTATGCTATACAACTATGATGGTTAAAGGGAATTGTTGACTGTGTTTGTGTTTGCATCTTACCACCTCATCATATACCACTGTTGCATTCCACCACATCTCATTTCATATCTTTCACATCCACACACAAATCCTATCATCAATTTGGCGCCGTTGCCGATTTGGGATATTTTTGTTGCATTTGAGTTTCAAACACACTTGGACGATCAAGCTATACCACCCCTGTTCTATTGTACTGCTGGGTTTTTGTCTCTTTTTGCAGGTGTATGCGAACTCGATCGAGTCGGTCTACAGAGGACTTGGTCGAGCTAGACTTTACAACGGGTAGAAAGAGGGTTCAGAGGTCACAGAGGGTACAAGAGGAACCTGAGGTGCTTGTTGCTGATACAATGGATGTACCAGAGGGGAATGGAAACCCTTTGGGCAATGGACTCGGTCGAGCTAGGCAAACTCGACCGATTGGTCAAGGAGATGCTCCAAACCGCCACCAACAGAGACAAGGGATTGTTCCACCACCAGTGCAGAACCACAACTTTGAGATCAAGCTGGGAATGATCAACCTTGTTCAGAACAAGATGTTCCATGGATTGCCAAGTGAAGACCCCATTGACCACCTTGATGAGTTTGATAGGCTTTGTGATTTGACAAAGATCAATGGTGTCTCTGAAGATGCCATCAAGCTGAGACTCTTTCCTATGTCTCTAGCTGACAAAGCTCACCAATGGGAGAAGAGCTTGCCCCATGGCACAATCACCACTTGGGATGAATGCAAGAAGGCCTTTCTTGCTAAGTTTTTCTCCACCGGTCGCACAGCCAAGCTTAGAGGAGAGATATCCAGCTTCATCCAGCGAAACAATGAGACATTCGCAGAGGCTTGGGAGAGGTTCAAAGGCTACACAAGTCAGTGCCCACACCATGGATTCAACAATGAATCACTACTCTCCACTCTTTATAGAGGATGCTTTGCCAAGGTATAGGGAGATGCTAGACACAGCTAGCAATGGGAACTTCCTCAACCAGGATGTGGATGATGGCTGGCAACTTGTGGAGAACATGGCCATATCAACAGAATGCTATGGAGACAATTATGTACAGACTGGAGCTCGACCGCTCACTCGAGGCCCAGATGAGAAAAGACATGCTTGCACTCTCTTCGAAGTTGGACAAACTGATCCTAGCCAATTCCCTGCCAAGCATGTCAACTATGTCTCTGAACAACACAGCTAGTCAAACAGGAAGGGGAGGAACAACACATACAAGCACTCAACACAAGGAAGACCATCTATGGTCACACATTACCAGGCACCTGTGGCTTCCAGAATAACTCCACACAGATCCAACCAGCAAGGCACCTTCCAATTTCCCACCAATGCCATACCCAACCAAGCCAAGATTGGGATATGAAGGAAATGCTCCAACAACTCCTTACAAGGGCAAGCCAAAGGTTCACTGGAAATGAACAACAAGTTGAGATAAACTCTAAACTAGAGTCATTGACTTCAAGAGTCCAAATCATTGAGTCTTCTAGTGCATCATCCTCTTCACCTCAAGAGTATGCCCAAGCAGTTACACTAAGAAGTGGGGACAATTCCAAGCAGGGTAGCCCACCCCAAATCGCTGTGGACATCGATGACGAGGAAGGGGAGGATTTGGTCGAGTATGCTGATAACTCGACCGAACTCGATCGAGCTGGAACAAAACCCTGAACCAGAACTCGATCGAGCTGAAGAAACCGAGACTGCAAGACAAACCAGAGCTCGATCGAGCCGAGAAGAGAACAGACAAAGCAAGCTCCAGCCAACCAGCTAAACCTGTTGCAAAGAAGAAAGACACTCCAGCAGGACCACCACCATACAAACCCCCTCTACCCTTTCCAGGAAGGTTCAAGAAACAACTGTTGGAAGCACACAAGGCCAAGTTTGATGAACTAATGAGACAGCTTGAGCTGAAGTTGCCTTTCATCGACGCCTTGATGCTCATTCCACCTTATCAGAAATTTCTGAAGGATGCTGTTCAGCAAAGAACCAGGGAAGCACAAGGGATGGTAGTGTTGACTCGTGAGTGCAGTGCAATCATTCAGCGGAAGGTCATCTCCGACAAAAAGGAAGATCCGGGGAGTTTCACTTTGCCCTGCATGTTGGGACCCCTATCTTTCAAAAACAGCCTCTGCGATCTAGGATCATCTGTCAGCCTCATGCCTTTGTCTGTAGCAAAGAGACTGGGATATCACAAGTACCAAGCCTGCGGAATCTCACTAGTCTTGGCAGATAGATCGATAAGGTTACCAACTGGGATGCTTGAAGACCTGCCTTTGAGGATAGGGAATGTAGAAATCCCCACCGACTTCATTGTGCTTGAGATGGATGAGGAACCAACAGATCCATTGATTCTAGGAAGGCCATTCCTAGCTACAGCAAGAGCAATGATAGATGTCTGTGAAGGAACAATTGAGCTAAACTTGGGAAAGGACCTAAGATGAAGTTTGATATCAAGGATACAATGAGGAAACCAACAATAGAAGGTCAGCTCTTTTATGTTGAGGAAATGGATCAGTTGGCAGATGAGCTTTTAGAAGAGTTATCAGAGGATCCCTACAAGTTGCTTTGACCAAGGATTCTTCAGAAGGATATGTGAGCTCAGAAACCGATGAGTACAAGAAGCTCCTTGACACCTTCAGACCAGTTCCAAACATTCTGAGCATTGAGGGGTTGGACAGGCCAGTTTGCGAAGTCATGGCAGTGAGCTCGATCAAGAACTCGATCGAGTCGAGTTTCGAACAAACGAACTCGATCGAGCTGGGGACTGAATGCAAGGAGCAAGCTCAAGGAGATTGGTCTGAGCTCAAGGCGCCTAAAGTCGACCTCAAACCTTTGCCTGAGGGCCTCAGGTATGCATTTCTGGGTGAAAACTCAACTTACCCTGTCATTGTGAACTCTGATTTGGAACCTGAACAGTTGAGTGCTTTGCTTGTTGAATTGAGGAAGTACAGAAAAGCAATAGGTTACACTCTAGATGATATCAAGGGGATCTCCCCTGACCTATGCATCCATAGGATTCATCTAGAGGATGAAAGTAAGTCAAGCATTGAACCTCAAAGGAGATTGAACCCCAATCTAAAGGAAGTAGTGAAGAAAGAGATACTCAAGTTGCTTGATGCTGGGATAATCTATCCCATCAGTGATAGCACTTGGATATCTCCAGTTCATTGCGTCCCAAAGAAAGGGGGGATCACTGTCATTAAAAATGACAAAGAGGAGCTGATTCCCACTAGAACAATAGTGGGGCATCGCATGTGTATTGACTATAGGAAGTTAAATTCAGCATCTAGAAAGGATCATTTCCCTCTCCCTTTCATTGATCAGATGTTAGAAAGATTGGCAAACCACCCTTTTTATTGTTTTCTTGATGGTTACAGTGGTTTCTTCCAAATCCCGATCCACCCTAATGATCAGGAGAAGACCACTTTCACATGCCCTTATGGTACCTTTGCTTATCGAAGGATGCCATTTGGGCTGTGCAATGCCCCAGCTACTTTCCAGAGATGCATGACCTCCATTTTTTCAGATCTGATAGAGGAGATGGTAGAAGTCTTCATGGACGATTTCTCAGTCTATGGAGCATCCTTCTCCTCATGTTTGTCTAACTTGTGCAGGGTGTTGCAGAGGTGTGAGGAGACAAATCTAGTACTCAACTGGGAGAAGTGCCACTTCATGGTTCGAGAAGGGATTGTGCTTGGACACAAGATTTCCGAGAAAGGGATCGAGCTCGATCGAGCTAAGGTGGATGTCATGTTGCAGCTTCCTGTTCCCAAGACTGTGAAGGACATCAGGAGTTTTCTGGGTCATGCAGGGTTCTACAGAAGATTCATCAAGGATTTCTCAAAGATAGCAAGACCCTTGACAAGGCTTCTGTGCAAGGAGACAGATTTTGAGTTTGATGAAGAATGCCACAAGTCTTGGACCTTGCTGAAGGATGCTCTGGTATCTGCCCCAATAGTTCAAGCTCCAAACTGGGATCACCCATTTGAGATTATGTGTGATGCATCTGACTATGCAGTAGGAGCAGTGCTTGGCCAAAAGATAGACAAGAAACTCAATGTCATCTACTATGCAAGCAAGACTATGGATGATGCTCAATGCAAGTATGCAACCACAGAGAAGGAGCTCCTTGCCATCGTCTTTGCCTTTGAGAAATTTCGAAGCTATATAGTTGGGTCCAAGGTGATTGTGCACACTGACCATGCTGCCCTTAGGCACATCTTTGCTAAGAAAGATACAAAGCCAAGACTTCTCAGATGGATCCTTTTGCTTCAAGAGTTTGACATAGAAGTTGTGGACAAAAAGGGAGTAGAGAATGGAGTTGCTGATCATCTCTCTAGGATGCGAGTTGAAGACATGATCCCCATCAATGATTCTATGCCTGAAGAACAGCTTATGGCAATCATGATCTTGAAGGAGAGTTTTGATGAGAAAGTCAGGCTGGAAGAAGTTAAGGCTCTGCGTGATGAGAATTTGCCATGGTATGCTGATATAGTGAACTTCATGGTGTCTGGAGAAGTCCCTAGTAGTTTTGATGCTTACAAGAGGAAGAAGTTCTTCAAGGATGCTAGGCACTACTATTGGGATGAGCCTTACTTGTACAAGAGAGGACCAGACAGCATTTACAGGAGATGCATAGCTGAAGAGGATGTACAAGGAGTTCTAGAGCATTGCCATGGGTCAGCTTATGGAGGTCACTTTGCTACATTCAAAACAGCAACTAAGGTTTTGCAATCTGGTTTATGGTGGCCTACTTTTTAAGGATGCAGCAAGCTTACATTGCCAAGTGTGATCCATGCCAAAGGAAAGGAGATCACCAAGAGAGATGAAATGCCACTAAACCCAATTCTAAGTTGAGATCTTTGATGTATGGGGAATAGACTTCATGGGACCTTTCAAAGCCTTCCTCAAACGGGCACAACTACATTTTGGTTGCTGTGGACTATGTGTCCAAATGGATTGAAGCCATTCCCCTGCCCAGCCTGTGATGCTAAGGTTGTTATCAAACTGTTCAGAACCATCATCTTTCCAAGATATGGCATCCCAAGGGTTGTTATTTCGGATGGAGGTTCCCATTTCATCAACAAGGTGTTTGAGAAGTTGATGAAGAGTTATGGAGTCAAGCACAAGGTCGCTACACCTTATCACCCTCAAACCAGTGGGCAAGTTGAAGTCTCCAACAGACAGATAAAGGCCATATTGGAGAAGACTGTGAGCTTCACTAGGAAGGATTGGGCAGCAAGGCTTGATGAAGCACTTTGGGCTTATAGAACAGCTTACAAAACCCCCATTGGAAGGTCTCCTTTCAACTTGCTGTATGGAAAGGATTGCCACTTACCTGTGGAGGTCGAATACAAGGCTTTATGGGCAGTAAAGATGCTGAACTTTGATATAAAGGCAGCACAAGAAAGAGGGTAATGAACTTGTTTGAGTTGGAGGAAATCAGAATGAATGCCTATGAGAACTCCTGATCTATAAGATGAGAACCAAGGCAGCCCACGACAAACTGATTCGCCTTAAGGACTTCAAGGTTGGGGACAGTGTGCTCTTGTATAACTCCAAGCTAAGGTTGTTTCCCGGGAAGCTAAGGTCAAAGTGGGCGGGACCATTCAAGATCACGAAGTTTACCCTATGGATCCCTCACTCTACTCAATCAAGAGGGGAAGGAATTCACAGTGAATGGGCATAGATGCAAGCCATATCTAGGAATGACCCCCACAGAGGAGATCATCACTCCTCTCAAGATCCAACCCCGGCCTAAAAGGTAAGGTCAAGCTATGAGACCTAAAACAAGCTCACTTGGGAGGAATTCCCATGTCTATCTTATATATTTATGCTTTATCTTTTATTTCTATGATTTTCTTGGCTAAGTCTTGCAGGACAGGTTTTAGGAAGAAGGAACCAACTCGAGGCACAACTCGATCGAGCCAAGAGCAAGCTCGATCGAGTGAGGAACCCGTCGAGTGGAGTGCTCCTGATGGCCGTCTCCCATCTCCAGACCACGACCTTGCCTCCCAGTTCTTTGGGGGGCACTGAGGTATCCAAACACCAACCCTTGTATATACCATTTCATATTTTCTTGCTTTGTTTTTTTTTTCTTGGTTTTGCCCTCTTGAATCTTTCACTAAATTTCTCTCACACAAGGGACTGTGTGATTTAAGTTTGGGGGAGGGTTCAAGAGATGATTTAACCTTGTTTTCTTTGTTCTTAGTTTTTCATTATCTTTTGCATAGAAAAACCAAAAAAATCATAAAATTTTCAAAAAATCCAAAAATATTTTCATCTTTTTGCATTCATATTTGTTAGACTTGTTTAGGATTGCATTTTCACTTGCATTGTTGATTTGACTTTGAAAACTTGTCATCATTTGCGATTTCTTGAGTGCCCTGTTTTTAGATTCTTTTGTGCATTAGGGTGAGATTGATTGAGCAGCAAGAACCATGTTTATCTTGATCATATCACTGCATGCACATCTCATTCAACCATTGCTGTGATTTGATGCATTTCCCTATCTATTTGAACCATAACTTGATCTTTAATTACCAATGCTTGCATTTGATTTCAACTCATGGCTACCACATACATATCTGGACATTCTTTACCATTTTCATATCCCTTTGCTTGTCCAGATAGCTGATCTCTATCTTTGAGACAGTTACCACACCTTAAACCTAAGCCTTTTCATTTCAAACCCCATATTATCTCTTGTGCGAATGTGAGAACCTTTCTTGGCTTTGCTTAGCATAAGGTGTTGTGTTTAAACCGGCAGGGGCAGTAGTTCTAGTTGTCTAGTTCTCTTGGGATTGTTTTCAGGCTAAGTTTGGGGGTGCCAACTCGAGCTCGATCGAGTTGGGTGTAAAAACCAGAAAAGTGGTAAAAGTTGGGAAAAACCAAAGGAAAAAGAGTTTAGTTAAGTCCAGGGAGTTGGCAGTGTTAAAAAGGGTCTAGTAAAGGTTTGGGAAGTTAAAAAAGGAAGTAAAAAGGGTTCTAAGTAGAATGAAAAGAAGGCAAAGCCTCAAGTGTCAAAAAGGAAAGAAAAGTTCCCTAAGTGTTTAGAAAATCCCAAACCGCTAGATGTTACCTCAAGAAGCCTCTCCCTAGGAAGTTCTTAAAAGAAAAGTGAGCAAAGCTCCTCAGTTTCAAAGGCGAAATGCCAAAAAGGGTAGTTAGGATTTTGTTCTAAAAAGCTCTAAGTGTTGAACTCGATCGAGTTAGGATTAGACGGCTCGAGCTGCTGTTCTTGCATCATCTTTGGTTCTAACACTTAGCCTTCTGCCAAAGCAAAGCCACTTTCTTGAGAGATCCCTGTTACTAAACCACCATACAAAAGAGACCCTCTTTGTCTCTTAACCCATAAACCCTTGAAACCAAATGAGTTGATTGATCTTGCATGTTTTTGGTTCACTGTTTTTGCTTAATGAATGTTAAAGGGATTTGCTGATTTGAATGCATTGTTTGAGTGACTGTGAAGTGGGATTGATGTTGATAAGCATGGTTAAATCTTAATGAATATCTCTCACCTTGTTGCATTCTAGAATCTCTAAGTTGGACATTTAGCAAATCGCTTTTGAGGACATGTTTTTAAGTGTTGAATCAGCTTGTTTTCAAACCTCATCTCTTTCTTGTTCTATTTGTTTGCTTGAGGGCAAGCAAAGTTCAAGTTTGGGGGTGTTGATGTACTTGCATTTTACATAGTTTTAGTACATCTTTTATGCATCTTTTGCATAGTTTTAGCATCCATTAGCATCATATCTTGTTCCTTTTCTCTTCTTATGCATTCATGTTAGTTTTAGGTTGCATTTGCATACATATGCATGTTTGGTCCTTTGAAATAGGTCTTTTGGAGCATTCTGGAGCATATGGGACGTGAGGAGCATGGAGGGACTTGGCACATGGACGCAGCTCAACTGGATACGCAAAGGAAGAAGGGAGAAGCCATCTTGAAGACCAGCTCGACCATCTACTCGACCAACCGGTCGAGTTCCTCAACTCGACCGGCCAAGCTTCAACTCGATCGAGCTGAGAAGTCAAAGTCAAACCCGAAAAATGTTGCTTCCCCCTTGACTTTCCTTTGACCCTAAACCTAATCCTCTTGTATTTAAAGGCTAAAAGCCACGAAAAAACCACCAAGCTTTAGATTACTTTTGTTTTAGTTTCTTTTAATTTATTGTCTTTTACTTTTTAGAGCTCTAATCCCATCTTTGTGTTCTTGAAGCTCTTGCTTCTTGAATCCTAGATCCTGGATAATCTCTTTGTATTTGCACTTGCTTATTTCAATAAAAGTTGTTTATTTCATCTCCTCTTTCTTATGATGTCTCTTTTATTGCATTTGCTTGTGTTTACATTCATGTGTAGTGAGTAGTTACCCATTAGGGTTTGAGATGGGATAGATTAGAGGTTTCATATGCTTAATCCTTCTAGCTTATGGTCTTAATCTAGATTCTCTCTCTTTTGGATAGATCTTAAGGCTACATGACCACTACCCCTGGCTTGTAAGTCCTTAGGCGATTCTCCACATGGAAGTGATGGAAATCGCTGGAAAAGATCCACTAAGAGCTCCAATATCTCTTGCTCTAGAAATAGAGGTCTAAGGGGTTGGATGGATTAGTTTGGGCAATGATCCTATGGCCTCCAAGGTTTGATTCTCACTGGCTAACCCCCTGTTTCTGAGATCATTCCTTGGTTGATAGCCTCCACCTTGGGAAAGGGTTGGCTAGGCATTGAGAAGCCCAATATCAAGAGAAGCCTTGATACAAGGAGTTTTAAGAGCAGATTGATTAAGTGTAGATTCCTGATTGCAAAACCCTGTCTTGAACCCTAATTCTCTCATTAGCTTGTTAAAGTCGTCCTTTAGCTTTTTTTTCAACTCGACCCTAAACTCGATCGAGCTGGTACTCTGTTCCACTCGACTCGAGTCCTTGGTCGAGCTGTTGCTTACTGCTTTTTTACTTTTATGCATTGCATTTCATTTTTTAGGTTGTTAGTGTTACCAATCTTTACTGCTTGCTTGACTTCCTTGTTGTTTCATATTCTCATAGAGTGACAATTTCCCATTTTGGATTGATAACCCTTTATGCTATAACAACTATCATGGTTAAAGGGAATTGTTGACTGTGTTTGTGTTTGCATCTTACCACCTCATCATATACCACTGTTGCATTCCACCACATCTCATTTCATATCATTTCACACCCACACAAAATCCTATCATCAGATGTCAACAAAATTAACTTAAATCTCTGCATTTACACCAAAGAGTTGTTTGATTTATCAATGTGACCACACATGAACCTTCTCTGCAAATTGGCAAACTACTTTCCTTTCTCTTTCACAGGATCAGCGAACCAAATGGCTTTGAGCCAGAATAGCGTTTCCTCCAGCGACTTTCAGGGCATCCTTAGATATGGCCTCCTTAGAACATACCCTGGAAATCAAGGGGTGGGGATTCCTAAGGTATGTCGATGCGGAGAAGACGTTGCTCATTACACCACCCATGATGGAAAAAAATTCTTCGGGTGCACCGGAAACACCATGGTCAGTGTCATTAGCTTATGTTAATGTTTAGCGTAGTTCACTTACACACTCACTAACGATAACGATTTTTAATGACCCTTGGTAGGATGGCCAACAACACCTCAACGCGTGGTGGGAGGAAGCAATTACGGAACAGCTCGATGAGGTATATGATGAGCTCGATGACATGAACACGCAACTTTTTCACATCGCGATGGACTGAGGGCGTATCGACAAACTTTCCCACGAGATCGAGGTGCTGAAGGAATCTTGGAACAAACGGGAGCAAAAATCGGCAACCGAGTTCAAGATTAATGTGGCGTGCGGTGTGGCCGTGCTCCTAATGGCATTCATTATTGCCCTTCTAAACTAAGAGGGTAACGTTTTTCCTTATCCTCTGGTCTGTAAACCCTCTAATCTTAGCAACAACACTTTCTATGATAACCCGTATCAAGGCCTAAAACGTCTCAAAGGGTGGGATGGGAAGATCAAGGCTCTGGGATTAGAAGACAAAGGAGTGGGATTCACTCTAGAGGTCAAAACAAAGACTTGGGCCAAGACAGGATCAAGAACGATCGAGCAGAAGTAAAGATACAGCAAATTGTCCAGGTGGAACGATCATTGTGTGAACATGGGATGAGTCGACCAGACGACGAAATATCAAAGTTCTCCAAATAATGAAGATAAGAGTTTGGACGACATAAGAGACCATTCTATGAAGTTTGGTCGAAGCAGAAGGCAGATGGGAAGAGCAGATGGAGAGATGGGACGGACGGACAAGGATCCATCCCACGAAAACTGGAAGAAACGAAAATGTTCGGGATGGATGTATTCCGCACATTTCCAAGCAGCTATGTGAAAGCTCAGAATCATGGAAATAAGAGAAGGATTAAAATAGGAGATGTTTTAATTCTCAAGCACGACGGGGACGAAACCCTCCAGACAGGGAAACGTACGAAACCCTCTGGACGAGGAAACGTACGGATGGAGCAATCTTGCTTTCTGCCAAAAAGTGGAGACACCAAGCTACTTGGGGAAGATAAAGATGATCTTAACCAGTATGGAGGAGACACTCACCTACTCAGATGGAGCCAAAACCATTCAGCCAATCACGCAGAGACATTGAGCTGTTGGAATGGGACAAAATTGGTTTGGATCAATCGTGCGTCAACACCACCTGCTAGGAGAGAGTGAGGCCGTGGATAAGCATTCTTATTGGATGATCTTATCCAGAAATGGACGAATCATACAGAGCCACATAGCAGCTTCAAAAACAGACCAATCAAACGGATCCATTCAAATGCTGAATCAAGGAGTTTTAGGCCAATCAGGCCGTGACACTCAACAGATGAGGGAAGGAGCCAATGAGAGGAAGCCACTCACTCCATGAAGATAGGATCAAGGAGCAGATGCTCATCTTTAATGGACCAATCACGTTCAACTACCCAGCAGCTTGGAGAATGGACCAACGGGAAGCTGCCATTCATCCGAAGTGGATGGGGATGGGAGAAGCTGCTGCAAGCATGCCTCAACACCATTGGTTGCATGCAGGGGAGAGGTGTCACATTCTGAAGCCCTCAGACGCCACCTAGAGCTTCCTTAAAACCAATATAAAGGCCTCTTCAGCCTTCATTTCAAAACCACACCAAAACATGAAAACCTAGAGAGAAAGGGTAGAGAGAGAAATTGAAAGAGAGTGAGGACGCCAATGAGGAGAAGAAGAAGAGGAAGAAGAAGAAGAGGGAAGAAGAGGTAGATCCAAGACGGATCAGGTTCGGGCTAGAGCGGGGAGGCTAGGGAGGGGGGTCAGCCGGGTCTTCTAAGTCGGTGAGTCTTGGTGTTGTGGTTTTAGTCTTTGGATCTATGATGTGTATGCAGCTTGTATGAACACCAAAGCATAGGAGATGCTTTATGTTCATATTGGTTGTTGGTTCTGTAGCATAACTCTCTAAACAATACGGTTTAGTAGAAATTGTGGAGAGTTATGCTGCAAAAATTTCTGTGAAGTGTTGTGAGGTTGTGATGGGTAATCTTCTAGGGAGAGAATTTATGCCGTTAAGTCTCTTGGGTGTTTATGCAGGTTTGCATTGTTGTTCCCGTAGTGTATGGTTATACTAACCCATTTGTGTGCTGGTGGTATGAACACTAAGCATAGGAGATGCTTACGATTTATATTGGTTGTGAGTTATGATAGCTAGGTTATAGTTTATTTTCCTGCTATCAGTAATGATGTTGTATTGTTGTGTAGTATAACTCCCTAAACATTCAGTATTAATAAAATTTGGGGGTGTTATGCTGCAGGAATTTATCTGTTTTGTTGTGTGAGGTTGTGTTGGGTAACCTTCGGGGAAGGTTATGTCGTCAAATCTTGTTTGTGTAGATGCATATCTATACATAGGTGATGTGAGATTATGGATGGCTATGCCGCCATATCTCATATTTTGTAGGTGCATATAGATGCATCGGTTGTGAGGATATAGCACGGCTATGCCGCTAAACCTCGAGTGCATACTAACATGGTGGTCCTTAAAGGCCCATGTGTTGAGTATGGCTCCGGTGAGGTGAGGATCTGAATGGCTATGCCATCAGATCTATTTTGTGGAGGTTCTGGTTGGTAACCTTTCACGCGGGGAAAGCTCTCCCTGAGAGTAATCTTTCAAGTAAGGGAGAGCTCTGCCACAGAACCAGGTGTACAAGTATATTAGGGCGTAGCCGATATGCTAGTACCGGCACTTATGGTGTAACCATAAGCAGGGCCAGGTCCATATGAATGTAGTGAGACATTCATATGGAAGTACACATGAATGTAGTGAGACATTCATGTGTGGTTAGGGTGGTGTATTCAAGACATTCACGCACAAACTCTTTTCATGTGTGATTGTTATGAGGTGCCCCAGCCTACTACAACAGTGTGGGAAGAAATCGGAGAGACGGGATTGCAGCCTAGGCCGAGTTAATATCATACGACCGTATGATCCAACTAACAGTGAGGTTAGGTCGATGAGTGAGGGCTGGCCAGGTTACTATGTGTTTCTTGGATGCGGTATTCGCGTGTGCGTGTAATGAGTTCCCTTGGTACACCAGTTAGAGGTTTCACATGTGAAGCAATGGTGTGTGTGTAGTAAGGAATCAAGTACAGGGGTACTTGCATTTAGGAGTCAAGTACAGCGATACTTGCATTTACGAGACAAGTATAGAACTTGTCTAGGAGTGCATAGATATTGCATGTGATTACATATGTTATGCAGGTTGTGGTGTGCTAACCTCAATGCAGGTGGAGGCGGGATTATCCCGCGGCGTTTGTGTTTGGAGTTTAGGGAATTCCCCTTGTATAGAGGTCCTAGACTCACTGAGTAATGTTAGATTACTCATTCCTTTTGTTTAATGTTTTCAGGTGACCGTAGAGGTGTGAAGTAGAGCGGACCGCTGCAGGCAGTAGGCGACCAGAATAGTTTTGTGGTATGTTTTTGTAAAATATGGTTTGTTGTTTGGTTTGGAACTAAGGATCAATCCGCATGTTTTTAAATAAGTCGGATTTTGTAATGCACTCTGATATTTTAATAAAGGAAAGTTTTATGTAAAGACCTTTCCAATGATATTAGCTTGGTCCGGGCTAACACAACTCCTGACCGAAGTACGGGTTGGCAAGCCTTAGGCTTTGGTCAAGAGGGTCGAGTTCGTGGGACGGGCTGACCTGGGCTCTGATTTGTTCTTAGTCTGGGATGGCCTATTCAGCGAACCTCGACATTTTGTGGCGCTTCTCAGAACGTCTGTGCCTAGGACGGTTTGGGGGTGTTACACTTTCTCTGTCAGTACTTTAAAACACTTTGCGGGTTTGGAAATTAGTACGTTTGTATGTTACTTCCGGTCATTTTTGCTCTAGTAACATCCTTATTTAGGCACTCAAGTATAAAAAGATACCCTTTGCTCATCGGACAAATGTAGGGCTTTGCGTGGACAATGACTTGGGGTCGAAATCGGTCCTCTTTCTATGTCTTCCTTCACCTTCCCTACACCGACTTGGGGACATCCTCTTCAGAACATCTCTTATCTATCTATTGTCTTCCTCGACCGCAACACACGAACGGCAAGCCTTTGATACCACCGTCTGGGGAAACGCCATGTGGATGGCTCCCGTGGACAACCCACTGGCATGAATACACATCACCATCCATGGAAGCGTGTACACATATCAGCGCTTATGTTAACAAACACGTATCTTCTCTAACCTCTCCTTAGCCGCACGATTACGACAAATATTGGACGTAGGTGTCTGACTATCCAATAGTATTGACATGTATGTACATCCTCGCATGGATACAAATTACTTTATACACATTACCTTATACACATCCTGGCATGGATACACATCACCATCCATGGAAGAGTGTACACATATTAGCGCATATGTTAACAAACACAAATCTTCTCTAACCTCTTTTATCTTAAATTGTCCGGACCATCGCGATCTAAGCTTACCGGGAAAGAGTTTCAAGCGTGAGTTGAAAAGGAGAACCTGGTCATTGGGAGAGAGCGTTGGGGACTATCTTCTTGTCATGATATGCTTTTGTTCTTTCCTTGTAGATCCTAGAATTCTCATAGGCATTATGACGAATTTCATCCAACTCATTCAACTGAATCAAGCGCCTCTCCTTTGCTGTCTTGATGTCGTAGTTCAGCTTCTTTACTGCCCATTCCGCCTTATACTCAATCTCAACAGGAAGATGACAAGCCTTTCCATAGACAAGGTGAAAAGGAGTTGTTCCAAGGGGTTTTGAATGCAGTTCTATATGCCCAAAGAGCATCATCAAGCTTTACTGACCAATCCTTTCTTGTCATTCCCACTGTCTTCTCTAAGATCCTCTTGATTTCTCTGTTAGAAATCTCTACTTGCCCACTTGTCTGAGGGTGATAAGGAGTAGCAACCTTGTGTCTCACTCCATTTTTCTTCAGTAGACTTTCAAAGACCTTGTTGATGAAATGAGATCCTCCATCACTAATCACAACTCTTGGGATACCAAATCTTGGAAAGATGATCGACTTGAATAACTTTATCACCACCTTGGAGTCGTTTGTAGGGCTGGCTATGGCTTCTACCCACTTAGACACATAGTCAACAGCAACAAGGATGTACTTGTTCCCATAAGAAGAAGGAAAAGGACCCATGAAGTCTATTCCCCAAACATCAAAAACTTCCACTTCTTGGATGAAGTTTTGTGGCATCTCATTCCTTTTGCTGATGTTTCCTTGTCTCTGGCAAGCATCACACTTAGAGATGAAGTCATGGGCGTCCTTAAACATGGTGGGCCACCAAAAACCAGCTTGCAAGATCTTAGCAACAGTCTTGTTAGTAGCAAAATGTCCTGCATAGTCAGATCCATGACAAGCAAAGAGAACTCCTGGGACTCTTCTTCTGGAATACATCTTCTAAACATACCATCAGAACAATGTTTATAAAGATAAGGTTCGTCCCAAAAGTACCTTCTAACATCACGTAAGAATTTCTTCTTCTTGTAGCCAAAGAATTGGGGTGGTGGATGATCAGCAGCAAGATAGTTGGCAATGTATCTAAACCAAGGAGTGTCGGATGGTGCTGGTTTTGGAGGTGCTCTAGGACGTCTCTCAAGGTGGAAAACTTCCTTAGAACTATCTGCATCACACTCTTTAGGCATCACAGTCGAAACCTTGTCTCTTAAGCAACTTTCATGATCAGAGTTCACTGATTTGATAACTTCATAAGATCTTATGTAAAGAGCTTGCTTGGAAACGTTTTGAGGCTTCTCCTTCTCTTCTCCATGGTCTAAACTCAATCTGCTGCCATTCCTAATGGTTATACAATAAGAGCTCTTGGTAGGGACTGCTGGATAAAAGACTCTTTTCTTTACTCTAGAGAAAGAAACTCTTTGGTTTGGATAGTCCACATTAGCTCCAACTGTTGCAAGGAAGGAACTACCAAAAACCAATGGCGTTAGGGGTTCCTCATCATCATCATCATCATTAGATTGGCTCATCATCTTCAGGCCATTCCAATGGGTTTTTGAGGGTTGAATGATCTCTAGGGGCTGGTGAGACCACGTCCTTGTTCTGAGTTGTGATAACTTTGCAAACTCTTGGATTTAACTCAGTCTTACTTGGAAGAAAACCCTCTTGCCTCTTCATACCTTCTGCTATTTGAGCAACTTGCACCTCAAGCATCTTCACATGATTGGTTAGATCAAAGAGCTTTGCAAATATCTCATCATCTTTTCTGTTGAGATGACCATAGTCGTTCGCCATTTTGAACTCAAGGTTTTCAATCTCTTGGGCGTTTTGCTCTTGTCTTTCCATCATATGTTGTTGATTTTCCATTAGCTGTTGCATCATAGCTTCAAGTCTTTCCTCTCTAGCATCAATGTAGTTGACTTCTCCTTGCTGCTTATGAGAGTTATCACCATTACACTCCTCTTTATCCTTACCATGAGAAGCTCCCATGTTCTCACATTGGTATGCATCCCTTTGCTGGTTCTTGAGAAATTGAGCAACCATTGATTTCAGCTCAAGGATTTCTGAAAAGTCTGAACTTGGCTTGATGTGCTCCACGTTTTTCTCATAGTCAAGCAAGAATTTTGTTGCTTGCAGCCAAGTTATCAATGAGAATGTTGGCTTGAGAAATAGTATTAGTCATGAAGTCCCCTTGACTTGCGATGTTGAGTGCCATCTTGAATTTCTCATCAACTCCTTGATAGAAGAAGTTTAGCAAAGCAATCTCTGTAAAACCATGGTGAGGGCACTCTCTCTTGTACTCCTTGAACCGTGAAACAGCCTCAAAGAATGATTCATGTGCCTCATGTCGAAATTCTGAGATTCTTCTTCTCATCCATTTTAATCTCTCTTTTGGGTAGAAATTCTTCAAGAAAGCTCTCTTGTACTCATCCCAAGTAGTGATTGATCCTGCTGGAAGAGCCTCATCCATTTGTATGCCTTCTCAACCAAAGAGAAAGAGAATAAAGTACACTTCAAGTAATCCTCAGAAACTCCACTACATCTCCTTGTAGCGCAGATTTCTTCAAACTTCTCAATATGATCAATGGGCTGCTCTTCCTCTAGGCCACGAAACTGATGCTGCTCCACCAAAGCAATGAGTTTAGAGCTTATCTTGAACTCTCCAGTAGGTGGTAAAGGGCATATAGGTTGGCGTTTTGTGAAGAAGATGTCTAGTGAATCAAACTCTCCAATGGTGCGGTTTTGAGGATCCATGTGATATCTTCTTCAAGATCTCCTATCTCTTCCTCAAGCTAACCTTGAAACACAAAGAGATAGAGAAAAGTAACAAAATAATAAAAACAAAAACCAAGAAAAACAAAAACAAAAATAAAAACGAAAATTAAAGCTATCCTAGACTAGACTCTAATCCGAAACTCAAAGGCAACTGTATTGGTCCCCGGCAACGGCGCCAAAAACTTGATGGGATCAGGTTTTACCCAATCCTATACTAGATTACCGCAAGTGCACGGATCGTTGGTAGTACGGGTTATCGAACACAAGGACCAGATAAGTTACACTATGAGTTTATGAGATTCAAATCAAGCTAGGACTCAAGTATGAAGGTTTGTTGTTGTCACGGATTCAAAGCAAAAAAAGTAAATAAGAAAGCAATAGAAGAAAGCATTGGGCATTAGAGAATTCGCAAGGTTTCATAGATTGGATCAAGCAAATAGATAGGGAAATCAATAGTTTGTTCTAGAACTCGAATCAATAAGTATAATTGACCTACTCCCGCAGTGCCAATTACTATGTCTAACAACCTAAATCACACAACTTCCGCAGGTAATCAAGAGATTAAACATGTAAGAACAGTTCAAATTCGATAGATCTACTTCCGTAGGTCTAGTTCACAAAGCCTAACAATTCTACTTCCGTAGGTTACTTGCCTTGCTCATCTAAGTTGATTCAAGAGATTTAACAAACGGTCAGAAAGTAAATCTACTTAACAACAGTAGCCTAGACGGTCAATCAAGCTATAAGCAATAAGCACAAACTTAGATGAAGAACACTAATGATAGCTTGGTTTAGGATGGGTTAGGTTAATTGGGCTGAGAAAAGTCAAAACTGCATAAGTGGGCTTCTTGTTCGCGGAGATCGGGTCGAGCGCGGTTCTTTGCTTCCCGGGTCGCACGGTCTGGTCGGCCGTGATGTGATGATCTCGGTCGATCGTGGTCCATTGCCTCCCGGGTCGGACGGTGCGGTCCTGGAGAAGGCCGAGCGAAGCCAATACCCTTCCTGTCCGGCCGAGTGCGTTCCGCCGGCTGTGGGCCAGGGTTCTCAAACAGGGGATCCTCCAGGTCAACTCGACCCTCAACTAGAACCCTTTTTTACTTCACTTTTTAACTTCCCAAACCTTTACTAGACCCTTTTTAACACTGCCAACTCCCTGGACTTAACTAAACTCTTTTTACCTTGGGTTTTTCCCAATTTTTCCACTTTTCTGGTTTTTACACCCAACTCGATCGAGCTCGAGTTGGCACCCCCAAACTTAGCCTGAAAACAATCCCAAGAGAACTAGACAACTAGAACTACTGCCCCTGCCGGTTTAAACACAACACCTTATGCTAAGCAAAGCCAAGAAAGTTCTCACATTCGCACAAGAGATAACATGGGGTTTGAAATGAAAAGGCTTAGGTTCAAGGTGTAACTGTCTCAAGGATAGAGATCAGCTATCTGGACAAGCAAGAGGGATATGAAGTGACAAAGAATGTCCAGATATGTATGTGGTAGCCATGAGTTGAAATCAAATGCAAGCAATGGTAATTAAAGATCAATTTATGGTTCATATAGATAGGGAAATGCATCAAATCACAGCAATGAGATGGTACACGGCTTGACTGGGTTGACCATCAGGAGCACTCCACTCGACTGGGTTCACCTCACTCGATCGAGCTTGCGGCTCCTCTTCTTCCTCTTCTTCATTCAAAGTGTGTGTGGCTCCCTTGGCCTTGGAGGAGCTGGCTTGCTCGAAGCTGTTGTAGGGGTCCAGTTGGTCTGGGAGAAGTCCTGGTAGGCGTTGGATCGTACTCGAATCCGGATCCTCAATGGGGCTCCTCCAGGTCAACTCGACCCCGTCAGCTCGATCGAGTTGAGTTTCCTCTGTTTGGACTCGATCGAGTCCGGTGGTCGAGCTGGAGCGTCTGGCCTTGGAAGTCTTCCTCCTTCTCTGCGTGTTGTCTTCTCCTTCCCTTGGCTCGAAAGAAGAGGCTCTGTGAGGCTCTTGGGCAGGGAGCCTCCTTGGAGTGGTGAGGAGAGATCTACTCCTAAGGAATGTGGGGGCCTTGGACTTCTTCTTCTTGCTTGAAGAACCAGAAACCTTCTTCTCCAAACTTTTGATCTTGCTCACCATCTTGTCCATGGACTTTTGCATCTTCTCAATGGCTTTCCCTTGCCATTTGTTGAACTTTTGGAGAAGTCCAATCCTCTTGTGGCAGCCACAACAGAGGGGTTCATCCTTGGAGCCTCATACTCCTCAAAGTAATAGCACTCAGGCTCACCCAAATCCGCACTCTCCTGGACCTGATCTTCAGCTCGATCCTCAGCTCGATCCTCAGCTCGACTCAGCTCGATCGAGCTCAGGCTCCTCTTCTCGCAAATCCTCATGCCCAACTAATGTGTACACAGGGGGTCTGAAGTCAATGTTCTCACCCCTTACTACTGTGGTGAGCTCTGGGTTAGGCAGGAGAACTTGGAGGGTCCAACCAATGGATGTGTGAACTTGAATTGGAATCTCCCATCCAACTCCTTGTGCTCAATGAGAAGGTTGGTCTTGCAAAACTTGATGTCCATCCAACCTGGTTCAGTGGCTCTCTATCAGTTGGGTTCACTCCAGCAGCACACAAGATAGGTGTGATGAGCCCTCCAACACTTAGCGCCTTCCTTTGATGTCTAGTGTTGTAGGCTGTGATCTTGTAGGTAAGGAGATGGTCAAGGAAGGCATCAAGTTCCCTGTGTCAGATCTATCTCCCCTTGATCCTCTTGCCATCGCTTGTGCGTGAGAGAATGGGCTTGATTCCCATGTCAAGAAACTTGAGTTCCCCCTCGTTGATTGTCCCGGTCGCCTTCCTTGCAAAGAAGGTGTTGGCAAGTGCCTTGTGCACATACCTCAAGACTGGGCTCCTGATCTGAGCTGCCTTGGACCTTGAGGAAGAGTACACTCCATCAGCGATTGTAGCCCAAACTCTTTGGAGTTCCTTTTCCTTGAAGTTCCACTTGGTACCTTCTCCATAGTTGAACCCAAACAAGATTTCCAAGCTGCCTAAAGGTCACCATTCTCTTCTCTCCCTTAGCCAAGAACGTGATCCATCCCAATCCTTGGTCCAAATCAGCTCTATCTTCTCTCATACATGTGGTACCTCATTGAAGCTAAGAACTCGCAAGTGAGCTCCTTGTAGGATTCCATGTGATAAGAGAAGAGCTTGGCCAAGTGCATGTTCTTGAGAACCAACTCCACATCCTCAAAGATTCCAAGGGCCTTCATTGTGTCAACATGTGGGTACTTGGTCTCCATGAAGTCCATGGAGAAGAGAGCATTGTAATGCTCTTGGTACATGGGGAGCTCATCCTCCTCTTCTGCTCTGCTCAACTCCTCCATGGTTCATCTTGGTTACTCTTGCTCATTTCATCAACCAATTGTTCACCTCTTCTCCTTCCTCTTCACTCTCAGTCTCATCACTTCCTTCTTCACTTGGAGAGCCATTTCCCTCCTCTTGAACAAGGTTCACTCCAATCTCAAACTCCCCTTGCTCACTCTCACTACTAATGGGGTCATTCCTCTTCTTGGTTCTCCTCTCCTCCCTCAATCTCTCACTCTCAGACTTCCTCAGAGTACACATATCCCTCTGCATCAGATTCTTCCATCCTCTGATCATCCTCTCCAAATCGGCTTGCATCTTAAGCCTTCTTTCCCTTGCATTGCTTGATTCACCCTCAACCATTCTCCTCTGTGAAGCGCGCTTCCCTCACTGTTTGTCATCCTTGTTACTCTGTTTCTTCACTAAAGTACCTGAAATGCATCAAAGATTACAAAGAATTAGAGTTGCAATGATCGGTTTGGTCAACTCGACACTCAGCTCGATCGAGTCAAAAAACTCGAGTGACAAACTCGATCGAGCTGGGTGAAAACAGAGTATAACCAAACCTAATTCAAGTATTAAGAGCTGGAAAAGATGCTAATCAATCAAATTGAACCAAGAACAACTAGTAAATGGAACAATGAGCAATTCTAGTGAAACACTAAGCATCTTAACCAATACCAAACTCAAATTCAATTTTCAAGCACATGCAACAAGTTCTAATGCAAAACAGAGGTGAGGTGAGGCAAATTCACAAGATTATACAGGAGATGAAATATGAAGCAATTACTCAAGAACAAGTCCACAAGGGACACATGCAATCAAAAATCAAAGAGAAACAAGCAATATGGAAATCGAGATGGAAGAATCAAGGGTTTAGGGTTCATACCTTGCTTGAATGATGAATTGAAGAACAGTAAACTAGAACCCAAACGAAACTGAAGCACAAAGGAAATCGCAAAAACTTAAGAGAGAAAGAGAAATTCGAAATTTCTTGTGGTGAAGAGAGAGAGAGATGGTTTCAGAAATTTTAAGTGTGGGAGTGGAGAAGTGGGTTCGATCGAGTTATGGGGAAGAGGGAGTGTTTGAGATGTGTGGTTGAGATTAAAAGTGAAATAAAGAGGGGACAAGAAGCTAGGGTTTCTCTGATCAAATTAGGGTAGTGGGGGACCAAAATCAGCTTGTGGGACCCACTCCCTTGACCAAGAAAACGGTTATGAATTTGAAATTCAAAAACTTACCTCGGTCGAGTTGGGAAGCTCGATCGAGTTGCCCTGGTTTCTAGCTCGATCGAGCTGTCGGTCGAGCTGGCTCCTCTTGACACCTAAACTTAACTTATTCAAAGGTTAAAACATAAAGATAGATAGAAATTGCATAAATAGATATGTACAAGGATAAACATGGGACTTCCTCCCAAGTGAGCTTGTTTAAGGTCCCATAGCTTGACCTTTACCTTCTTAGGCATTGGTTGAGCTAGTCCCACCATCAAGGGTGATAGTGAGGACTTGAGACAGAAGCTCCTTTAGCTTGGTTGGGTCCCTGGACTGTTCTGAAGTCACCAAGGCTTTGGCTCTAGAGAATGGCCTTGATCTCCCCTTGTACCTTATCTTGTACTCAATCTTCCCATTTTCAAACTTGGTGGGGAACAAAGTCATTGTGAGCTGAGATGGCTTGATGAAGGGGCCTGAGCTGGTGGATCCTTTCTTTTATCCTGGTCTTGCCTTAGAGGCTGCATCCTCCCCTTCTTTTAGAGCCCTTCCTAGTGGCTCATCAAACAAAGCTTGAAGGCTCTCTTCATCAAGCACACAAGGGGCTTGAACAAGTCGATCAGCTCGTGGCCTATCAGACGTGGTTTCTCAACTCTAGCCCTCTCAAGACGTGGCTTCTCAATCCTTGGTCCTCTCTCATCCTTATCCTTCCCAACTCTTGGTTCCTTGTCAACCCTTTCCTTCACAACCTTTGTAGCTCCATGACTCTTAGAACTGAGAGTGGTACTGTCAATTGTGGCACAAAAGTCTGAACCTCTAGGCTGCAAGCGATATGACACCAAACTATTCACCTTGTGAAGGATCACTTCTTGCTTGTGAAAGTCTATTGAAGCGCCAACTGTACTAAGGAAAGGGGTTCCCAATAACAGAGGCAAATCCTTCTCTTCTTCCATTTCCATCACAGTGAGATCAGTTTGGATGATGCATTCTCCAATTTTCAAGTGATAGTTCTTGAACACTCCAAGAGGAGACTTAGAAGTTGCATCTCCAAACAAACATGATTGAAGTAGTAGGGCGCTGCAAGGCTCCAGCAATGCCTAGCTTCTCTGCCATGGAGAGAGAGATCAGATTGATGCTTGCTCCAGAATCCACTAAGGCATTGTCAATCTCAAGATGCCCAAGTGTGCAAGGGAGAGTGAATTTCCCTTGATCCTTGACCTTTGGTAGGAAGGTGGGTGAAGTAAGCAGGTTGAACTGATGAGTAGACTCTTGTAGGACCTCTGAAACTTTATCACTGTTGGCTAGAACATCCTTGACCATTTGCATTTGATCAAATGCCTCACTCATGCTATCCATAGTAGGCAACTCAATTCCAATCCCACTGAGATCTCTTCTGAACTTGTGAATCACTTCCTTGTGACCTTGACTAAGTAGGCGAGACGAGGAAGCGGCAACCGGTTGGTAAGGATCAAGCAAAACTGGCTGTCGGACAGAAGAGGTCGGACTCGATCGAGCTAGAGTTGGACTCGATCGAGCTGCCGATCGAGCTTGTCGTGCGAGCTCAACTGGTGAAGTGTGAATGGCCACAGTAGGTGCTGCACTTCTGGTTGATCAATCTGGACTCCAGGAGCCTCAGCAGCAACAATCTCTTCATCATTCAGCAGTAAACAAAAATCTTCAATGACCCTTTCTTGATCCTCTTCTTCAACAAGTCCTTCTTATTCCAATCCGACTGAGATCTCTTCTGAACTTGTGAATCACTTCCTTGTGACCTTGACTAATTAGGCGAGACGAGGAAGCGGCAACCGGTTGGTAAGGATCAAGCAAAACTGGCTGTCGGACAGAAGAGGTCGGACTCGATCGAGCTAGAGTTGGACTCGATCGAGCTGCCAATCGAGCTTGTTGTGCGAGCTCAACTGGTGAAGTGCGAATGGCCACAGTAGGTGCCTGCACTTCTGGTTGATCAATTTGGACTCCAGGAGCCTCAGCAGCAACAATCTCTTCATCATTCAGCAGTAAACAAAAATCTTCAATGACCCTTTCTTGATCCTCTTCTTGAACAAGTCCCTCTTGAGTGAAGATGACCTTGCACTGTTCATTGCTAGCTGTGTCTAGCATCTCCCTATACCTAGGCAAGCATCCTCTATAAAGATGGAGAGTAGTGATTCATTGTTGAATCCATGGTGTGGGCACTGACTTGTGTACCCTTTGAACCTCTCCCAAGCCTCTGCGAATGTCTCATTGTTTCGCTGGATGAAGCTGGATATCTCTCCTCTAAGCTTGGCTGTGCGACCGGTGGAGAAAAATTTAGCAAGAAAGGCCTTCTTGCATTCATCCCAAGTGGTGATTGTGCCATGGGGCAAGCTCTTCTCCCATTGGTGAGCTTTGTCAGCTAGAGACATAGGAAAGAGTCTCAGCTTGATGGCATCTTCAGAGACACCATTGATCTTTGTCAAATCACAAAGCCTATCAAACTCATCAAGGTGGTCAATGGGGTCTTCACTTGGCAATCCATGGAACATCTTGTTCTGGACAAGGTTGATCATTCCCAGCTTGATCTCAAAGTTGTGGTTCTGCACTGGTGGTGGAACAATCCCTTGTCTCTGTTGGTGGCGGTTTGGAGCATCTCCTTGACCAATCGGTCGAGTTTGCCTAGCTCGACCGAGTCCATTCCCAAAGGGTTTCCATTCCCCTCTGGTACATCCATTGTATCAGCAACAAGCACCTCAGGTTCCTCTTGTACCCTCTGTGACCTCTGAACCCTCTTTCTACCCGTTGTAAGTCTAGCTCGACCAAGTCCTCAGTAGACCGACTCGATCGAGTTCGCATACACCTGCAAAAAGAGACAAAAACCCAGCAGTACAATAGAACAGGGGTGGTATAGCTTGATCGTCCAAGTGTGTTTGAAACTCAAATGCAACAAAAATATTCCCAAATCGGCAACGGCGCCAAATTGATGATAGGATTTGTGTGTGGATGTGAAAAGATATGAAATGAGATGGTGGAATGCAATCAGTGGTATATGATGAGGTGGTAAGATGCAAACACAAACACAGTCAACAATTCCCTTTAACCATGATAGTGATGTAGTACAAAGGGTTATCAATCCAAAATGGGAAACTTGTCACTCTATGAGAATATGAAACAACCAGGAAGTCAAGCAAGCAGTAATAGATTTGAAGTAACACTAACAACCTAAATAAAATGAAATGAAATGCAAAAGTAAACAAAGCAGTAACAGCTCGACCAAGACTCGAGTCGAGTAGAACAAAGTACCAGCTCGATCGAGTTTAGGGACGAGTTGAGACAAACAAAGCTAAAGGTGACGACTTTAACAAATAAGAGAGAATTAGGGTTCAAGACAGGGTTTTGCAATCAAAGGAATCTACACTTAATCAATCTAGCTCTTAAAACTCCTTGTATCAAGGCTTCTCTTGATATTGGGCTTCTCAATGCCTAGCCAACCCTTTCCCAAGGTGAGGCTATCAACCAAGGAATGATCTCAGAAACAGGGGGTTAGCCAGTGAGAATCAAACCTTGGAGGCATAGGATCATTGCCCAAACTAATCCATCCAACCCCTTAGACCTCTATTGTCTAGAGCAAGAGATATTGGAGCTCTTAGTGGATCTTTTCCAGCGAATGCCATCACTTTCGTGTGGGGAGTCGCCTAAGGACTTACAAGCCAGGGGTAGTGGTCATGTAGCCTTAAGATCTATCCAAAAGAGAGAGAATCTAGATTAAGACCATAAGCTAGAAGGATTAAGCATATGAAACCTCTAATCTATCCCATCTCAAACCCTAATGGGTAACTACTCACTACACATGAATGTAAACACAAGCAAATGCAATAAAAGAGACATCATAAGAAAGAGGAGATGAAATTAAACAACTTTTATTGAAATAAGCAAGTGCAAATACAAAGAGATTATCCAGGATCTAGGATTCAAGAAGCAAGAGCTTCAAGAACACAAAGATGGGATTAGATCTCAAAAGTAAAAGACAATAAATTAAAAGAAACTAAAACAAAATAATCTAAAGCTTGGTGGTTTTTTCGTGGCTTTTAGCCTTTAAATACAAAGAGGATTAGGTTTAGGGTCAAAGGAAAGTCAAGGGGGAAGCAACATTTTTCGGGTTTGACTGTTGACTTCTCAGCTCGATCGAGTTGAAGCTTGGCCGGTCGAGTTGAGGAACTCGACCGGTTGGTCGAGTAGACGGTCGAGCTGGTCTTCAAGATGGCTTCTCCCTTCTTCCTTTGCGTATCCAGTTGAGCTGCGTCCATGTGCCAAGTCCCTCCATGCTCCTCATGTCCCATATGCTCCAGAATGCTCCAAAAGACCTATTTCAAAGGACCAAACATGCATATGTATGCAAATGCAACCTAAAACTAACATGAATGCATAAGAAGAGAAAAGGAACAAGATATGATGCAAATGGAAGCTAAAACTATGCAAAAGATGCATAAAAGATGTGCTAAAACTATGTAAAATGCAAGTACATCACTTTCCCTTGCCACTTGTTGAACCTTTGGAGAAGTTCAATCCTCTTGTGAGCAGCCACAACAGAGGGGTTCATCCTTGGAGGCTCATACTCCTCGAAATAGTAACACTCAGGCTCACCCAAATCTGCATTCACTTGAGCGTGGTCCTCAACTCGATCCTCAGCTCAATCGAGTTTAGGCTCCTCTTCTCGCAACTCCTCTTCATGCCCAATTAATGTGTGAAGTGGAGGGCTGAAGTCAATGTTGTTACCTTCTACAACCGTGGTGAGCTCAGTGTTGGGCAAGAGCAGCTTGGAAGGGCCAGCCATGGATGTGTGAATTTGAATTGAACCTCCCATCCAATTTCTTGTGTTCAATGAGGAGGTTGGTCTTGCAAAACTTGATATCCATCCATCCAGCTGGAGTTGACCTCTTCTTGTCCAATTGGACCCCAGCTGCACATAGGATTGGTGTAATGACCCCTCCAACACTAAGCTTTCTTCCTTGTTGAAACCGAGTGCTATAGGCGGTTGTCTTGTAGGAGAGTAGCTGGTCAAGGAGAGGCATGAGATTCCCTGCGTGGATTCTATCTCCTCTGATCTTCTTCCCATCCTTGGTGCGTGAGATGATGGGCTTAATTCCCATCTCAAGGACCTTCACCTCTCCTTCATTTATTGTCCCAGTGGCTTTCGTTGCAAAGAAGGTGTTGGCGAGAGCCTTGTGGACATATCTCAGCACTGGGCTCCTGATTTGGGACGCTTTTGACCTTGAAGAAGAGTATCCCTCTTCAGCGATTGTAGCCCATACTCTTTGTAGCTCATCCTCCTTGATATCCCAATGGGTTCCCTCTCCATAAGTGAAACCGAATAGGATCTCCAACTGCCTGAAGGTAATCACCTTCCTTTCTCCCCTTGCCAAGAACATGATCCATCCCCAACCTTGATCCAACTCAGCTCGATCGAGCTGCTTGTACTTGTGGAACCTCGTTGACGCCAAAAACTCACAAGTGAGCTCCTTGTATGACTCCAAGCGGTAAGAGAACAACTTGGCCAAGCGCATGTTCTTGAGGACTAGCTCCACATCCTCAAAGATCCCAAGAGCCCTCATTGTGTCATCATGTGGGTACTTGGTCTCCACAAAGTCCATGGAGAAGAGAGCATCATAATGCTCTTGGTACATGGGGAGCTCATCCTCTTCTTCCTCTCTCCTCCTCTTCCATGGGCACATTCTCATTGCTCTCATGCTCACTCTCCTCAACTTCTTGATTGACTTCTTCTCCTTCCTCTTGTGAACAGTCATCACTCTCTCCCCTTCCAATGTTCACACCAATCTTGAATTCTCCCAATTCACTCTCACTGCTGATTGGGTCATTCCTCCTCTTGGTCCTTCTCTCTTCCCACAACCTCTCGATCTCCTCCTCATCTTCCTTGGTTAGTGTCTTAATCATTCTCCTTGCTCCTCTTGTTATCTCCCTCTTTGTGAACGCTGCCTTGCTTCCTTCACCTCTCAACATCTTAAACTGGTTGCTTCTTGAAGTTGGTTTCCTGAAATGCATCAAAAACTCAAGGAATTAGAGTTGTAATCGTTGGTTCGGCCAACTCGACCCTCAGCTCGATCGAGTCAAAAAACTCAAGTGACAAACTCGATTGAGCTAAGCGAAAACAGAGTAGAACCGAACCTATATCAAACAATAAGAGCTGGAAAGGATGCTTAAGAATCAAATCGAAGCAAAAACAACAAGTAAATGGAACAATAAGCAATTCTAGTGAAAACCAAAGCATCTTAACCAATACCAAACTCAAATTCAATGGAATCAAGCCATGCAACAAGTTCTAATGGAAAAACAGAGGTGAGGTGAGGCAACTTCACAAAACTATAAACAGGAGAATAGCAATTACTCAAGAATAAACCCACAAGGGGCACATGCAATAAAAATCAAAGAGAAAACAAGCAATAATGAGAAATTGAGATGAAGGACTCAAGGGTTTTAGGGTTCATACCTTGCTTGAATGATGAATTGAAGAACAGTAAGCTAGAACCTAAACGATTTAGGATGAAGAACAATGGAAATCGCAAAAACTTAAGAGAGAGATTGAAACTCGATTTTTTTTTCTTGTGGTGATGAGAGAGAGGGATGATTTTCAGAATTTTTAGAGTGTGGGAGAGTGGAGAAGTGGGTTCGATCGAGTTATGGGGAAGAGGGAGTGTTTGAGATGTGTGGTTGAGATTAAAAGGTGAAATAAAGAGGGGACAAAAGGTAAGGGCTTTTCTGATCGATTTCAGGAAGTGGGGGACCAAAATTTACTTGTGGGACCCACTCCCTTGACCAAGGAAACGGTTGGAAAAATTTGAATTTTGAAAACTTACCTTGGTCGAGTTGTGGAACTCGATCGAGTTGCCCTTGTTTTAGCTCGATCGAGCTGTCGGTCGAGCTGGCTTCTTTGTCACCTAAACTTAACTTATTGAAAGGTTAAAGACACGAAAATAAATAGAAATTGCAATAATAGAATATGTACAAGGATAAACATGGGACTTCCTCCCAAGTGAGCTTGTTTAAGGTCCCATAGCTTGACCTTTACCTTCTTAGGCATTGGTTGAGCTAGTCCCACCATCAAGGGTGATAGTGAGGACTTGAGACAGAAGCTCCTTTAGCTTGGTTGGGTCCCTGGATTGTTCTGAAGTCACCAAGGCTTTGGCTCTAGAGAATGGCCTTGATCTCCCCTTGTACCTTATCTTGTACTCAATCTTCCCATTTTCAAACTTGGTGGGGAACAAGGTCATAGTGAGCTGAGATGGCTTGAATGAAGGGGCCTGAGCTGGTGGATCCTATCTTTTATCATCTGGTCTTGCCTTAGAGGCTACATCCTCCCCTTCTTTTAGAGCCCCTCCTAGTGGCTCATAAAACAAAGCTTGAAGGCTCTCTTCATCACGCACACAAGGGGCTTGAGCAAGTCTATCAGCTCGTTGCCTATCAGAACGTGGTTTCTCAACTCTAGCCCTCTCAAGACGTGGCTTCTCAATCCTTGGTCCTCTATCAACCTTATCCTTCCCAAATCTTGGTTCTTTGTCAACTCTTTCCTTCACAATCTTTGTAGCTTCATGAGTCTTAGAACGGAGAGCGGTACTGTCAATTGTGGCACAAAAGTCTGAACCTCTAGGCTGTAAGCGATAGGACACCAAACTATTCACCTTGTGAAGAATCACTTCTTGCTTGTGAAAGTCTATTGAAGCGCCAACTGTACTAAGGAATGGGGTTCCCAATAACAGAGGTAGATCCTTCTCTTCTTCCATCTCCATGTCAGGAAGATAAGTTTGGATTATGCATTCTCCAATTTTCAAGTGATAGTTCATGAACACACCAAGAGGAGACTTAGAAGTTGCATCTCCAAACATGATTGAAGTAGTGGGGCGCTGCAAAGCTCCAGCAATGCCTAGCTTCTCTTGGTCCTTCTCTCTTCCCACAACCTCTCGATCTCCTCCTCATCTTCCTTGGTTAGTGTCTTAAGCATTCTCCTTGCTCCTCTCGTTATCTCCCTCTTTGTGAACGCTGCCTTGCTTCCTTCACCTCTCAACATCTTAAACTGGTTGCTTCTTGAATTTGGTTTCCTGAAATGCATCAAAAACTCAAGGAATTAGAGTTGTAATCGTTGGTTCGGCCAACTCGACCCTCAGCTCGATCGAGTCAAAAAACTCAAGTGACAAACTCGATTGAGCTAAGCGAAAACAGACTAGAACCGAACCTATATCAAACAATAAGAGCTGGAAAGGATGCTGAAGAATAAAATCGAACCAAAAACAACAAGTAAATGGAACAATAAGCAATTCTAGTGAAAACCAAAGCATCTTAACCAATACCAAACTCAAATTCAATGGAATCAAGCCATGCAACAAGTTCTAATGGAAAAACAGAGGTGAGGTGAGGCGAATTCACAAAACTATAAACAGGAGAATGATATGAAAGCAATTACTCAAGAATAAACCCACAAGGGGCACATGCAATAAAAATCAAAGAGAAAACAAGCAATAATGAGAAATTGAGATGAAGGACTCAAGGTTTTTAGGGTTCATACCTTGCTTGAATGATGAATTGAAGAACAGTAAGCTAGAACCTAAACGATTTAGGATGAAGAACAATGGAAATCGCAAAAACTTAACAGAGAGATTGATAACTCGATTTTTTTTTCTTGTGGTGATGAGAGAGAGGGATGATTTTCAGAATTTTTAGAGTGTGGGAGAGTGGAGAAGTGGGTTCGATCGAGTTATGGGGAAGAGGGAGTGTTTGAGATGTGTGGTTGAGATTAAAAGGTGAAATAAAGAGGGGACAAAAGGTAAGGGCTTTTCTGATCGATTTCAGGAAGTGGGGGACCAAAAAAATTTACTTGTGGGACCCACTCCCTTGACCAAGGAAACGGTTGGAAAAATTTGAATTTTGAAAACTTACCTTGGTCGAGTTGTGGAACTCGATCGAGTTGCCCTTGTTTTAGCTCGATCGAGCTGTCGGTCGAGCTGGCTTCTTTGTCACCTAAACTTAACTTATTGAAAGGTTAAAGACACGAAAATAGATAGAAATTGCAATAATAGAATATGTACAAGGATAAACATGGGACTTCCTCCCAAGTGAGCTTGTTTAAGGTCCCATAGCTTGACCTTTACCTTCTTAGGCATTGGTTGAGCTAGTCCCACCGTCAAGGGTGATAGTTAGAACTTGAGACAGAAGCTCCTTTAGCTTGGTTGAGTCGCTGGATTGTTCTGAAGTCACCAAGGCTTTGGCTCTAGAGAATGGCCTTGATCTCCCCTTGTACCTTATCTTGTACTCAATCTTCCCATTTTCAAACTTGGTGGGGAACAAGGTCATAGTGAGCTGAGATGGCTTGAATGAAGGGGCCTGAGCTGGTGGATCCTTTCTTTTCATCATCTGGTCTTGCCTTAGAGGCTACATCCTCCCCTTCTTTTAGAGCCCTTCCTAGTGGCTCATCAAACAAAGCTTGAAGGCTCTCTTCATCAAGCACACAAGGGGCTTGACAAGTCTATCAGCTCGTTGCCTATCAGAACGTGGTTTCTCAACTCTAGCCCTCTCAAGACGTGGCTTCTCAATCCTTGGTCCTCTATCAACCTTATCCTTCCCAACTCTTGGTTCTTTGTCAACTCTTTCCTTCACAATCTTTGTAGCTTCATGAGTCTTAGAACGGAGAGGTACTGTCAATTGTGGCACAAAAGTCTGAACCTCTAGGCTGTAAGCGATAGGACACCAAACTATTCACCTTGTGAAGAATCACTTCTTGCTTGTGAAAGTCTATTGAAGTGCCAATTGTACTAAGGAATGGGGTTCCCAATAACAGAGGTAGATCCTTCTCTTCTTCCATCTCCATGACAGTAAGATAAGTTTGGATGATGCATTCTCCAATTTTCAAGTGATAGTTCATGAACACACCAAGAGGAGACTTAGAAGTTGCATCTCCAAACATGATTGAAGTAGTGGGGCGCTGCAAAGCTCCAGCAATGCCTAGCTTCTCTTGGTCCTTCTCTCTTCCCACAACCTCTCGATCTCCTCCTCATCTTCCTTGGTTAGTGTCTTAAGCATTCTCCTTGCTCCTCTCGTTATCTCCCTCTTGTGAACGCTGCTTGCTTCCTTCACCTCTCAACATCTTAAACTGTTGCTTCTTGAAGTTGGTTCCTGAAATGCATCAAAAACTCAAAGAATTAGAGTTGTAATGTTGGTTCGGTCAACTCGACACTCAGCTCGATCGAGTCAAAAAACTCGAGTGACAAACTCGATCGAGCTAGGTGAAAACAGAGTATAACCGAACCTAATTCAAATTAAGAGCTGGAAAGGATGCTAATCAATCAAATTGAACCAAGAACAACAAGTAAATGGAACAATAAGCAATTCTAGTGAAAACAAGCATCTTAACCAATACCAAACTCAAATTCAATAATCAAGCACATGCAACAAGTTCTAATGGCAAAACAGAGGTGAGGTGAGGCAAATTCACAAACTATACAGGAGAAATATGAAAGCAATTACTCAAGAACAAGTCCACAAGGGACACATGCAATCAAAAATCAAAGAGAAACAAGCAATAATGAGAAATCGAGATGAAGGATCAAGGGTTTTAGGGTTCATACCTTGCTTGAATGATGAATTGAAGAACAGTAAAGCTAGAACAAAACAAGATGAAGAACAATGAAATCGCAAAAACTTAGAGAGAGATTGAAATCGATTTTTCTTGTGGTGAAGAGAGAGAGGATGATTTCAGAAATTTTAGAGTGTGGGAGAGTGGAGAAGTGGGTTCGATCGAGTTATGGGGAAGAGGGAGTGTTTGAGATGTGTGGTTGAGATTAAAAGGTGAAATAAAGAGGGGACAAAAGCTAGGGTTTTCTGATCAATTAGGGAAGTGGGGGACCAAAATCACTTGTGGGACCCACTCCCTTGACCAAGAAAACGGTTGAATTTGAAATTCAAAAACTTACCTTGGTCGAGTTGTGGAACTCGATCGAGTTGCCCTGGTTTCTAGCTCGATCGAGCTGTCGGTCGAGCTGGCTCCTTTGTCACCTAAACTTAACTTATTGAAAGGTTAAAACATAAAATAGATAGAAATTGCATAAATAGAATATGTACAAGGATAAACATGGGACTTCCTCCCAAGTGAGCTTGTTTAAGGTCCCATAGCTTGACCTTTACCTTCTTAGGCATTGGTTGAGCTAGTCCCACCATCAAGGGTGATAGTGAGGACTTGAGACAGAAGCTCCTTTAGCTTGGTTGGGTCCCTGGACTGTTCTGAAGTCACCAAGGCCTTGGCTCTAGAGAATGGCCTTGATCTCCCCTTGTACCTTATCTTGTACTCAATCTTCCCATTTTCAAACTTGGTGGGGAACAAAGTCATTGTGAGCTGAGATGGCTTGATGAAGGGGCCTGAGCTGGTGGATCCTTTCTTTTATCTCCTGGTCTTGCCTTAGAGGCTACATCCTCCCCTTCTTTTAGAGCCCTTCCTAGTGGCTCATCAAACAAAGCTTGAAGGCTCTCTTCATCAAGCACACAAGGGGCTTGAACAAGTCAGTCTATCAGACGTGGTTTCTCAACTCTAGCCCTCTCAAGACGTGGCTTCTCAATCCTTGGTCCTCTCTCAACCTTATCCTTCCCAACTCTTGGTTCTTTGTCAACCCTTTCCTTCACAACCTTTGTAGCTCCATGACTCTTAGAACTGAGAGTGGTACTGTCAATTGTGGCACAAAAGTCTGAACCTCTAGGCTGCAAGCGATATGACACCAAACTATTCACCTTGTGAAGGATCACTTCTTGCTTGTGAAAGTCTATTGAAGCGCCAACTGTACTAAGGAAAGGGGTTCCCAATAACAGAGGTAGATCCTTCTCTTCTTCCATTTCCATCACAGTGAGATCAGTTTGGATGATGCATTCTCCAATTTTCAAGTGATAGTTCTTGAACACTCCAAGAGGAGACTTAGAAGTTGCATCTCCAAACATGATTGAAGTAGTAGGGCGCTGCAAGGCTCCAGCAATGCCTAGCTTCTCTGCCATGGAGAGAGAGATCAGATTGATGCTTGCTCCAGAATCCACTAAGGCATTGTCAAGCTCAAGATGCCCAAGTGTGCAAGGGAGAGTGAATTTCCCTTGATCCTTGACCTTTGGTAGGAAGTGGGTGAAGTAAGCAGGTTGAACTGATGAGTAGACTCTTCAGGACCTCTGAAACTTTATCACTGTTGGCTAACATCCTTGACCATTTGCATTTGATCAAATGCCTCACTCATGCTATCCATAGGAGGCAACTCAATTCCAATCCCACTGAGATCTCTTCTGAACTTGTGAATCACTTCCTTGTGACCTTGACTAAGTAGGCGAGACGAGGAAGCGGCAACCGGTTGGTAAGGATCAAGCAAAACGGCTTTGGACAGAAGAGGTCGGACTCGATCGAGCTAGAGTTCGACTCGATCGAGCTGCCGATCGAGCTTGTTGTGCGAGCTCAACTGGTGAAGTGTGAATGGCCACAGTAGGTGCCTGCACTTCTGGTTGATCAATCTGGACTCCAGGAGCCTCAGCAGCAACAATCTCTTCATCATTCAGCAGTAAACAAAAATCTTCAATGACCCTTTCTTGATCCTCTTCTTCAACAAGTCCTTCTTGAGTGAAGATGACCTTGCACTGTTCCTTGGGGTTCTGAATAGCTTTACCAGGTAGTTGTCCTTGCTTTGTAGCAGCAGCAACAGAAGAAGCATGATTCTCCAGAGAGTAAACCCTTGTGTTGAGATTCTCGATCTTGGAGTTTATTTCAGCTAGCTTCTTGCTTGTGTCCACTACCCCATCAGCTTGCCCTTGAAGTAGTTGTTTAGCATTGCCTTGAGCTCATTCTCTTGTGAAGGTGCAGGCTGGGGTGGTTGGTGGGGAAAGCCTGGTGGGATATTCATTTGTTGTCCAGGGAAAGTGCCTTGGGTCCTTGGTAATTGTTCTTTTGACCATACCCATGTTGTGGCTTGACTCGATCGAGCTGCTTGTTGTTGAGGATAGACTTGGTCCTGAGGGTTAGCAACATCAGTGTTGCGGTATGACATGGCAGGGTTGGACTTGTAATTATAGTATCCTTTGTTGTAACCTCCTTGCCCATTGCTCATGTAGCACACCTCAGCAAATTGTGTATCCTCCCCTTCTTGGACTGGTTCCATCTCTCAGCAGACACAAAGTTGACTTTCTTCATTGTGGACTGAGCTAGGATCAGCTTATCCAACTTCTCATTCAATGCCTTAACATCTTTTCTCAACTTTTCGTCTGACTCGATCGAGTGGTGGGTCGAGCTCCGATTGGTGCGATCATACTCTTCTCCATAGCTTCCATTTGAGTTGCTATGTTCTCCACAAGTTGCCAGCCATCATCTACATCCTGGTTGAGGAAGTTCCCATTGCTAGCTGTGTCTAGCATCTCCCTATACCTAGGCAAGCATCCTCTATAAAGAGTGGAGAGTAGTGATTCATTGTTGAATCCATGGTGTGGGCACTGACTTGTGTAGCCTTTGAACCTCTCCCAAGCCTCTGCGAATGTCTCATTGAATATATCTCTCCTCTAAGCTTGGCTGTGCGACCGGTGGAGAAAAACTTAGCAAGAAAGGCCTTCTTGCATTCATCCCAAGTGGTGATTGTGCCATGGGGCAAGCTCTTCTCCCATTGGTGAGCTTTGTCAGCTAGAGACATAGGAAAGAGTCTCAGCTTGATGGCATCTTCAGAGACACCATTGATCTTTGTCAAATCACAAAGCCTATCAAACTCATCAAGGTGGTCAATGGGGTCTTCACTTGGCAATCCATGGAACATCTTGTTCTGACAAGGTTGATCATTCCCAGCTTGATCTCAAAGTTGTGGTTCTGCACTGGTGGTGGAACAATCCCTTGTCTCTGTTGGTGGCGGTTTGGAGCATCTCCTTGACCAATCGGTCGAGTTTGCCTAGCTCGACCGAGTCCATTGCCCAAAGGGTTTCCATTCCCCTCTGGTACATCCATTGTATCAGCAACAAGCACCTCAGGTTCCTCTTGTACCCTCTGTGACCTCTGAACCCTCTTTCTACCCGTTGTAAGTCTAGCTCGACCAAGTCTTCTGTAGACCGACTCGATCGAGTTCGCATACACCTGCAAAAAGAGACAAAAACCCAGCAGTACAATAGAACAGGGGTGGTATAGCTTGATCGTCCAAGTGTATTTGAAACTCAAATGCAACAAAATACCCAAATCGGCAACGGCGCCAAATTGATGATAGGATTTGTGTGTGGTGTGAAAGATATGAAATGAGATGTGGTGGAATGCAACAGTGGTATATGATGAGGTGGTAAGATGCAAACACAAACACAGTCAACAATTCCCTTTAACCATCATAGTCGTTATAGTAAAGGGTTATCAATCCAAAATGGGAAACTTGTCACTCTATGAGAATATGAAACAAGGAAGTCAAGCAAGCAGTAATAGATATGGTAACACTAACAACCTAAATGAAAATAAATGCAATGCAGTAAAAGTAAATAAAGCAGTAGAGCAACAGCTCGACCAAGGACTCGAGTCGAGTGGAACAGAGTACCGAGCTCGATCGAGTTTAGGGTCGAGTTGAAGAAAAGCAATAAAGGCAGCGACTTTAACAAGCTAAACGAGAATTAGGGTTCTAAGACAGGGTTTTGCAATCAGAGGAAGCTATACTTAATCAATTGCTCTTAACAACTTGTATCAAGGTATCTCTTGATATTGAGCTTCTCAATGCCTAGCTAACCCTTTCCCAAGGTGAAAGCTATCAACCAAGGACTTGATCTCAGAAACAGGGGGTTAGCCAGTGAGAATCAAGCCTTGGAGGCCATAGGATCATTGCCAAACTAATCCATCCAACCCCTTAACTCCATTTCTAGAGCAAGAGTTATTGGAGCTCTTAGTGGACCTTTTCCACGATTTCCATCACTTCCATGTGGAGAATCGCCTAATGGACATACAAGCCAGGGGTAGTGGTCATGTAGCCTTAAGATTTCCAAAAGAGAGAGATCTAGATTAAGAACATAAGCAAGAAGGATTAAGCATAAAATCCCTCTAATCTATCCCATCTCAAACCCTAATGGGTAACTACTCACTACACATGAATGTAAACACAAGCAAATGCAATGAAATAAGACATCAAAGAAAGAGGAGATAAAGATAAACAACTTTTATTGAAATAAGCAAGTGCAAATACAAAAGAGATTATCCAGGATCTAGGATTCAAGAAGCAAGAGCTTCAAGAACACAAAGATGGGATTAGAGCTCTAAAAAGTAAAAGACAATAATTAAAAGAAACTAAAACAAAAAGTAATCTAAAGCTTGGTGGTTTTTTCGTGGCTTTTAGCCTTTAAATTGATGATAGGATTTGTGTGTGGGTGTGAAAGATATGAAATGAGATGTGGTGGAATGCAACAGTGGTATATGATGAGGTGGTAAGATGCAAACACAAACACAGTCAACAATTCCCTTTAACCATTATAGACGTTATAGCATAAAGGGTATCAATCCAAAATGGGTGAAGATGTCACTCTATGAGAATATGAAATGACAAGGAAGTCAAGCAAGCAGTAATAGATATGGGGTAACACTAACAACCTAAATGAAACAGTAAAGCAATGCAGTAAGTAAATAAAGCAGTAGAGCAACAGCTCGACCAAGGACTCGAGTCGAGTGGGAACAGAGTAACCGAGCTCGATCGAGTTTAGGGTCGAGTTGAAGTGAAAAGCAATAAAGACAGCGACTTTAACAAGCTAAACGAGAATTAGGGTCTAAGACAGGGTTTAACAATCAGAGGAAGCTATACTTAATCGATCTTGCTCTTAAACAACTTGTATCAAGGTATCTCTTGATATTGAGCTTCTCAATGCCTAGCTAACCCTTTCCCAAGGTGAAAGCTATCAACCAAGACTTGATCTCAGAAACAGGGGGTTAGCCAGTGAGAATCAAGCCTTGGAGGCCATAGGATCATTGCTCAAACTAATCCATCCAACCCCTATGAACTCCATTTCGAGAGCAAGAGTTATTGGAGCTCTTAGTGGACCTTTTCCAACGATTTCCATCACTTCCATGTGGAGAATCGCCTATGGACATACAAGCCAGGGGTAGTGGTCATGTAGCCTTAAGGTTTGCCCAAAAGAGAGAGATTTCTAGATTAAGAACATAAGCAAGAAGGATTAAGCATAAAGATCCCCTAATCTAGCCCATCTCAAACCCTAATGGGTAACTACTCACTACACATGATGAAATAAACAACCAAATGCATTGAAATAAACATCAAATGAAAGAGGAGATAAAGATAAACAACTTTTATTGAAATAAGCAAGTGCAAATACAAAAGAGATTATCCAGGATCTAGGAGCTTCAAGAACACAAAGATGGGATTAGAGCTCTAAAAAGTAAAAGACAATAATTAAAAAGAAACTAAAACAAAAAGTAATCTAAAGCTTGGTGGTTTTTTCGTGGCTTTTAGCCTTTAAATACAAGAGGATTAGGTTTAGGGTCAAAGAAGTCAAGGGGGAAGCAACATTTTTCGGGTTTGACTTTGACTTGCCAGCTCGATTGATGTGGAGTCAGGTTTTACCAAACTCCTAGAGCTCTGCAAGTGCACAGATCGCGGAAGTATGGGTATCGAACACAAGGACTGGCTATTGAGTACACTTTGAAAGACTAATGAATTGAAGCATGCCTAAGCAATTTCACCTTTGAATGAGGGGTTTGGAATGCCCAATAAGTTTTGTGAAAAACTATTCAATTGTGAAATTAAACTCTAAATAACTCTAAACCACCTAGGTTCCACCTAGAAAAGTTCATTACAAGACTAATAAAGATGATAATTGCAAGTTTAGACAAGAGTTTAGACCAAACATGAAACTTTTTAAAATTTTCGATATTGCATAAACATAGGATTAGAGTTAGAAGACATACCTTGTGTGTTGAAAAGTGAATAAGGGTTGCAAGAGCAAGTAATTTCCAAATTAGAGTTATGAACAGTAAGAGTTTTGAAATCAAAACTTTTAGGGCTCCTCTGGTTTTCACTACAAGAAAACAGGCGAGTTGCAACGGAAATTGCGACGAAATCTAAAGTCGTCGCAAAGTTGCGACGCATTTGCGACTATGTAGCAACGCTTGAGATAGTCGTCGCAAACTCGTCGCAAATTTGCGACGATAAAGGAGGACCCGCAAATCCGTCGCAATTTTGCGAGGACAGCGACAACAGTCGCAAATCCGTCGCACAATTGCGACGCCACTACAACACCATGTGTTCGTCGCAAAATTGCGAGAAAATTGCGATGCATTTGTGACGAAGGACCAAGTTCGTCGCAAATCCCATGCAAAATTGCGACGAATTTGCGATAACTAAAATGGCTGCCGACATTCCCAGTTAGGTATACCACATGTTAAGTGATTCGGTAACTGATTTTCATTATTTTGGATGTAGGTGACTAACATATTCTGATTATTTTAGATGATGACATAGTGTCCCACATATCTTTTGTGGTTTGATCAATAGATGATGATGTGGCTATGTAAAATGACAGAGTATCCCACATATCCACTCCGATAGAAACCACAGAAGATATCTCACATATTGATCCCACCAACATGGAGGTGGAAGACGTCATTGATGCTTATACAGATGATGCATAGCAGGATGAGTTCGCGGAGTCATCAAGTGATGGACTAGAGCATGGCAAAAACTATAATGACTCTGAAAATGAATCTGATATTGAATATGATTGAGTTCGTTTTATCAGTTTTTTTTCGCATTTCCCTTTGTATTGCAATTATATTTATTTTTTATTTTGAATTCTACAAATTTCCAAGGGAATTGCGACGAAAACACAAACGATGTCGCAAATCCGTCTGCAAAGTTGCGACAGAATTGCGAGGTTATCAGCAACGACGTCTCAAATCTGTCGCAAATTTGCTGACGGATTTGCGAGGTTAACTAAAATTTCAACCTTCCGACGATTTTGCGACGACATTGCAACGAATTTGCGACGGAATTGCGACATTACATCCCATTTCAGGGTTTAGGGTTTAAGAATGAAACGGACATTTGTAAATCTGAATGAATGTTTTAAGCGTGTATATGATTCGTCATCTTGTAAACAGTTATTACAATTCTTCAACACAGAAAAAAAACTATGAAATTTAGCATTAAGTATATAACATAAACAAAGGCATTTTTTAGTTCATAAGTATTAAGAGTCAATGAGTTGTAGGTTTTATAGAATTTCATATCATAACAAGTCAACAACATTATATCCAAAAATCTAGTACTTGTTTTTCATAAATAGGGTTTAAAATAGATACCCTAAACGCTAAAAAGTTTCCTCACAAAATCCTTGCAAAGTCGTCGCAAATCCGTTTGCATACTGTCGCAAAGTCGTTGCAAACCCTGAAGTCGCCTCTTTGTCGTCGCAAATCCGTCGCCGTTGCCAGAAACCCTAAAAATTTTCCGTCGCTTATCTGTCGCAAATGCGTCGCAAAATTACCGTTTTTCGCAAATCCGTCGCCGCTGCGGAAAGCCCTAAAAATGTACTGTGGCAAATCCGTCGCAAAATTACTGTTTCTCGTAAATCCATCACAAATTTGCGGGTAATTTGCGAGGGTTTTGCGAGGCCCGTAGATTCTATATAATAACCTGCGTTTATTTCCGCGAGAAACCCTAATCCGCCTTCCTGCTGCCGCCTCTCTCTTCTCTCCTCTCTTCGACAAACCTCCGCCTCCGGTTTCTTGTCCTGCGCCGGCGTCTTCTCCTCCGGTGTCATCTCCTCCGTCGGCTTCTCATCGCCGCCAACTTCTTCTCCGATCTCTCTCCGCAATCGTTTCCCCTTCTCCTCTGAGCCTTCTCCTCTGTTTCCTTTCTTCCTACGAGCTCTCTCCGCCGAGATCTCTCTGCCTATGTTTCCATTTCTCTGTCGAGCTCTCTCTGCCGCCACCAACTGCCGCCGACCGCCTCCGACGAAGCAGAAGACCTCAGCTTCTCCTCTCTGCCTCCAGTAATTCACGGTAAACAATTTTTTTTTTCCATTTTCTGATTTTTTTTTTGTTATTTATCCAATGCATTTGATTTGAGAATTTGGTTAGATTACATATAACAGATGCTTGTGTAATGGAATTTTAATGTCGTTTTTGCTATTTTGATTTATCTTTTGGTATTGTGGTTGAATTTGTTGAATAAAAACTTATGTTTTTATTGCCTTTGATTCTACTTTTAGGTTGTTAGATTAATACCACAATAATTACTGAAATGGATTTTAATATTTGGGTTTCTTAATTAGTTTGATTTTGAGTTTATTTGTTAGAATACAATTGTGTTAAACTTGTTAGGGTTTAGTTTCATTCACGGCAAACCAATTTTTTTTTACATTTTCTGATTTTTTTTTCTGTTAGTTTTCCAATGCATTTGATTTAAGAATTTAGTTAGATTATATATGATAGATGCTTGTGTAATGGAATTTAAATTTCGTTTTTGCTACCTTTATTTTGTATTTGTTTAAATTATTGTTCTCTTTTTTTCAGATGGAAGATGATAATCTTACTCCACAAGCCCCATCGGCTCCCTGGGGCAATGATTACACTCAGTGGTACCTGACGGGTGGAGGAAGCTCCAGTCCGAGGCCGAATTCGGGTTCAACTAGTTCTTGTGGCAGGTCAGGTGGCCGCTTAGGTGGACAAACGGGAGCCGGAACCGACTACTCAGTTTTAGTTTTATTTATTCATTGAACTTATTAGACTATTTTCTTGTTTTCTTGAATTTGTTTTAGGTTTAATTTTTATTTTAATAATAGAATTTTCATATATTTGATTTCAAAATTTTGTTATTTAATTTTTAAAACTATTTAATTTCTATCAAAAAAAAAATATTAAAAATGCAAATTTGCGAGAAGCAATTACGTCGTAAAAGGCGTAGCAAAGTTGCGAGGAAAATATCCGTCCCACTGTTACTCGCAAAGTTGCGACGGCCGACTGCAACGACAGTTTCCTCGCAAAATTGCGATATCCTTTATTTGACACAAATACGTCGCAAAATTTGAGACGATTTATTGCGACAACTAATTTCTTGCTAATTTGCGACGAAGAAAATTCTGTCGCAAATTTGCGAGGAATTTACGACGGCACAAAATTTGCGGCTCACAATTTGCGACGACAATGACCTAGTCGCAAAGTCGCCGCAAATGGCTATTTGCGACGGATTAGCGACAATATTTTCCGTCGCAAATCGGTTATGTTTCTTGTAGTGTTTAGGGTTTTGGAGAAGAAAGAGAGGTTCTTGTTGTTTTCAAGGGAAAGGTGAATAATAAGATCTAGATCCTATTAATTTTCCTTTTCAAATTCGAATTTTGATTGAAAACGGTTTAAGTTGGTTTAGGATTGGTTAAAACCGGTTTGAATTTAATGAAAAGGGGACTTACCTTGGCCGAGAAAATTTTTGGCCGATGGCCGATGGATTTTGTCGCGGTCGAGCGATTTGGTCGGCCAAATCCGAGTATGGCCGAGAGATTTCGGCCGAGGCCGATCGTTTGTTTCCCGGATCGACCGGCACGGTCGGTCCGTTCCGATACGAAAATTCGGCCGAGCGGCCTATTCTTCCCGGTTCGTGCGTGCCGCGCGAACGGTTTTGTCGCGCAAGTCAGTCCGGCCGAGCATAGCCGTTCCTTCCCGGCTCGACCGTGGTCGGCCCGATGGAATTGCTCGGCCAAAATCACTTTTGCGCGTCCGCGGCCAATGTTTGGCGCGGATTGTGTTTTCACACCTTTTTCTCCTTCTATCCTATCTTAAAACAAAGAAAACACAAAAGCAAAACAAAAACTAAGAAATTTAAAGAAAGAAAAGTAAAAGTACCTCATGGGTTGCCTCCCATGCAGCGCTTGTTTTAAGTCTTTAGCTTGACTGTAAGGCTTGGCGCTCAGGAGAAGATGGAGACAAGAGGCATCTTTGATCCTCCAAGTCTTTTCTCCTTGCAATGAGTATCTGGTGGGTGATTCACAGCTGGATAGACAATCTCTCCATGAATGTCCCTTGGCACAAATGCCTTAGGAAAAAGCTTTAGAGTTCTTGTCACTTTCTCCTTGAATCCTTCTAGATTCTCATCAATAAGCTCCTTTGGGAATAGAAGCTTCATGTTGCGGCCAGACCTAGGTTTTCTAACCTTCTTCTTGGCTTGGCCTCATCTTCAATCTTGGTTGATCCCTTGGGCGGTTTTGGTGTAGGGGCCTTAGTCTTACTCCTTGCTTGTTTGGCAAGCTGCTTGGGCTTAGGAATGGGATCTTCCTTGATTGTTTCTTCAGTTTCTCCTTCTTGGGGTGGCTTCAAAGTAACTTTCTCCTCTTGGACCATGTCAACAAAAGAGTTCTTTGTTGAACACATAGGGAAGAACATACCCTTGTTCACCTTGTTGAAAGAGATTCTTTGATTGGGGAAATCAAATATGGCACCCACAGTAGACAGGAAAGGGGTTCCAAATATGAGAGGTCTATGGCTACTCTCTCTCATTTCCACAATCTGGAAATCAGTAGGGATAGAGCAATTTCCAATCTGCACCATCACATTAGGCACAAAGCCATAGGGGTTTGTGAGAATGAATCAGCATAGTTGATGGAGATGGATGATGGCTCTATCTTGGTGAGGCCTATCTTGTCAGCTATCCTCTTAGACATGATGTTCACATTGGCTCCTGTGTCACACAAAGATTGCTCAAGAATGTTACCTTTGATGATACAAGGCACAACAAACTTTCCTGAGTTATCTGTCTTGGGGATAATCTTTGGGAAGAGTCTTCTCTTTCTAGCTCGATTGGACTCTCTCTCTGGGTAATTCTCTTCAGGCCAAATCATGCAATCAACAGTAGGTTTTGAAAGCATCCATTCTGGAACTTGGTCTTCAAATCTTTCTTCTATGGCGGCTGAGTTGCAAAAGGACTTCTTGGATTCAGCTTCCTGTCTCTTAACAGCTTCCATAGTTTGAGTGACTTGAGTCTCTAGTTTCTTCACATGAGTGGCAACAGCATCATACTTGGTGTTGAGATTGCTGAACAAAGTGTCCATCTTCTCATACATCTCTTTAGTGTTTCTCTTCTGGCCATCCATGATCTGTTGTAGGTAGATCCTTCTCTTCTTCCATCTCCATGACAGTAAGATCAGTTTGGATGATGCATTCTCCAATTTTCAAGTGATAGTTCTTGAACACTCCAAGAGGAGACTTAGAAGTTGCATCTCCAAACATGATTGAAGTAGTAGGGCGCTGCAAGGCTCCAGCAATGCCTAGCTTCTCTGCCATTGAGAGAGAGATCAGATTGATGCTTGCTCCAGAATCCACTAAGGCATTGTCAAGCTCAAGATGCCCAAGTGTGCAAGGGAGAGTGAATTTCCCTTGATCCTTGACCTTTGGTAGGAAAGTGGTGAAGTAAGCAGGTTGAACTGATGAGTAGACTCTTCAGGACCTCTGAAACTTTATCACTGTTGGCATAACATCCTTGACCATTTGCATTTGATCAAATGCCTCACTCATGCTATCCATAGGAGGCAACTCAATTCCAATCCCACTGAGATCTCTTCTGAACTTGTGAATCACTTCCTTGTGACCTTGACTAAGTAGGCGAGACGAGGAAGCGGCAACCGGTTGGTAAGGATCAAGCAAAAGGCTTTGGACAGATGAGGTCGGACTCGATCGAGCTAGAGTTCGACTCGATCGAGCTGCCGATCGAGCTTGTTGTGCGAGCTCAACTGGTGAAGTGTGAATGGCCACAGTAGGTGCTGCACTTCTGGTTGATCAATCTGGACTCCAGGAGCCTCAGCAGCAACAATCTCTTCATCATTCAGCAGTAAACAAAAATCTTCATGACTCTCTCTTGATCCTCTTCTTCAACAAGTCCTTCTTGAGTGAAGATGACCTTGCACTGTTCCTTGGGGTTCTGAATAGCTTTACCAGGTAGTTGTCCTTGCTTTGTAGCAGCAGCAACAGAAGAAGCATGATTCTCCAGAGAGTAAACCTTGTGTTGAGATTCTCGATCTTGGAGTTGATTTCAGCTAGCTTCTTGCTTGTGTCCACTACACCATCAGCTTGCCCTTGAAGTAGTTGTTTCAGCATTGCCTTGAGCTCATTCTCTTGCGTAGGTGCAGGCTGGGGTGGTTGGTGGGGAAGCCAGGTGGGATATTCATTTGCTGACCAGGAAAAGTCCCTTGGGGTCCTTGGTAATTGTTCTTTTGACCATACCCATGTTGTGGCTTGACTCGATCGAGCTTGCTGTTGTTGAGGATAGACTTGGTCCTGAGGGTTAGCAACATCAGTGTTTCGGTATGACATGGCAGGGTTGGACTTGTAATTATAGTATCCTTTGTTGTAACCTCCTTGCCCATTGCTCATGTAGCACACCTCAGCAAATTGTGTATCCTCCCCTTCTTGGACTGGTTCCATCTCTTCAGCAGACACAAAGTTGACTTTCTTCATTGTGGACTGAGCTAAGATCAGCTTATCCAACTTCTCATTCAATGCCTTAACATCTTTTCTCAATTTCTCATCTGACTCGATCGAGTGGTGGGTCGAGCTCCGATTGGTGCGATCATACTCTTCTCCATAGCTTCCATTGGAGTTTGCTATGTTCTCCACAAGCTGCCAGCCATCATCCACATCCTGGTTGAGGAAGTTCCCATTGCTAGCTGTGTCTAGCATCTCCCTATACCTTGCAAGCAACCTCTATAAAGAGTGGAGAGTAGTGATTCATTGTTGAATCCATGGTGTGGGCACTGACTTGTGTAGCTTTGAACCTCTCTCAAGCAGCGAATGTCTCATTATTTCGTTGTATTGATCGCGGGATCAGGTCTTCCCCTTTCCTATCCCTGATTCTGCAAGTGCACAGGTCAGAAGTAGTAAACGGGTATCGAACACAAGGACCAGATTGCACACTACAAGTTATGAGTTTGAGATCAAGCTAGGGCAAAAGTATAAGTTGGTTGAGTGCAGAGAAAGTAAAGCATGCAAGTAATAAAAAGTGAGATCAATAGGAGAGAAAGGCTAAGCAATAGGATAGTCTTGAGATAAGCAATTCAAGAAGCATGAAATCAATCAATTAGGGTTACCGCACTTAGGTGCTAATCTAGAACTTGAAACACTATGGTATGATCATTCCACTGTCGAGGCTCCGACCCCTTTGTTAATCTACCTAGTCGCTAAACTTTTGGTATGTCCCTAGGTGATTAAATCAAGCATTAGTTCGATCAAGATCAATTGTTCACAACCTACAAGTAGATCAACTGTCGCAGTCTAAAAGAGATTGCCCACCAAATACTAGTTCAGGCGAATGATACAGCACTGTCGAGGCTCAAATCAACCTAAAGGCATATGCTAATTGGCCAGATTAACAACAAGCATTAAGTATAAGCAAAGATGGAGATTATAAGTAAAACCCTAATTGTGATCAATCATCAAGCATACATGAATGCTATCCTTTGACTTCCTATCACTTAACAAGTAAACTACTCAGACATAGAGAAGGAACACGAATTCATATTCATAAGAACAGAGATTCGAATCCTCTCTAGAAAGAGTAACAAGCAAGAACAAAGTAAAAGCAAGCAAAACTTTATTAAGATGTAAAATAGATTGTGGTCTCTCTCCTTCTTGAGTTACAAGGCTAAAAAGAAGTATTTATAATGCTCTAAGTATGAAAAGCGGCTAAACCTAATCTAGCTAGGTCGGCGCCGGCTTTGGGCTTGAATTGTGCGGATTGGGCTTCAAAAACGGCTTCGGGTCGACCGCGGCGTTCGGACGGTCGGTCGGGACGATCGGCCGGACAGTCGGGTCTTGGCCGAGTCGGAACGGTCGTGGCCGGATGATTTCACGGTCGGCCGGCTGTGGTCGGACGGATGAGATTTGGCCGATGGTTTCTCGGCCGGACGTGGGACGTTCTTCCCGGCTCGGACGGATGCATCGGCCGTGGTACGCGAAGGGTTGCGCGGCCGCGAGGCTTGTTCCCGGCTCGCGCGGCTGGTCGTGCGCGGCGTGGCGTGACGTTGTGCTTGGCCGACCGCGGGACAATGTTTCCCGGGTCGTGTTGTGATCGGCCGGCGGTTTGAACTTTGGCCGAGACTTCAGTCGGACGGATATGTTTGGCCGAGCGCGGAACATTCGTTCCTCGGCCAGCCGGACTGCGCGTTCGGGCGCTGATTCTCGATAGAGCCGTCTGGAGCAGTCTTCACTCTTTTGGCTATAACTCCTTTTCTACTCATCCAAATGAAGCCATTCCAGTTGCGTTGGAAAGTTAACTCAATCAGAGCACGCAGGGAACTGGTCTTGATGAAATCCATTGAGTAGATCTTTTTCTAGCTCCATCCAAAGTTGATGCAGGGGCATTGAACTGGTTTAGAGTCCAAATCTCTGTTTTGCTCCATAATGCACCTTTTTACCTAAAATGACTCTTTGCACTATAAATCCATAAAAACTACCTTTTAACACAAGAATCCACTAGAAAACCATTAGAAAACCATAGTAAAATAGCATAAAAAGTAGGTAAAATAGAGGTATATCAACTCCCCCAGACTTAGATCTTTGCTTGTCCCCAAGCAAAAAGAATCTAAACTAGTGAAGAGGTTTTGAAAAACGTGGGAACTCTCTTGCTTCTTTGAAAATCCTGTGAAAGGTTCCTTTCCTGTATTCCACTAAGAACATAGTCAACATAAGGTTAGCTTCACATACACCCTGCAAGTTTAGCAACAATACCAACCCAACTAGTCTCATCCAGCAATCCAAACTCTCTATTGCTAACCTCTTGCATAAATTTAAAGCGTGAGTTCTTTATCAAGGGAAATCGATCAATTGAACTTGTTCTTACCCACTTGATCTTCTCCAAGATTGTCTTTGAAGTGCAATGAGTTCTTTTCCTCTCTCTTTCTCACATCAGAACTTTGAAAGGTCAATTTCTCCCTACTTTTCTAGGGTATCATTTTATTTTTTCTATTGACCTTTCTTTCAACCACAGGATAAGTCTTTAGCTTGTTCCTTGTTTGATAAGGTATTCCATAAGACATGAAGGTACAGACATATGCATTCCTCATGCTTACTTGTTTTCCTTGTGCTCTTTGAGCTTTTCTCATAAACATTACTTACCATTTGGGATGGGAGAGAGAGGTGAACTCTTTAGACAAATCTCATTGAAAATCAAGCAAGGAACTGTCGACATGTATGCCAATCCCCTTGACAAGAGTTATTAAGATTGATTAAGGGTGAGGTTAACTCTAGATTGCTTGGTTACCTTAGAAATTTCGCTGAGCTAGCATGCCGATCCACTCTAGGAGCTTCTGTTAGGCTTGTGCCTTCAGCTGATGTTTGCTCTAGGGTCATAGATTGTTAGCATAACACTATCAAATCTCAAAGCAAGTTCATTGTTCCCGGACTGGTTTTGACTCAATAAAACAGAAGTTTTGAAAAAGTGGGTTAGGAAAAACCAATTATAAGATCAAAACAACCATGAACAAACACATTAGTACCGACAATCCCCCCAGACTTAACTTGCACCGTCCCGGTGAAAGAAAATCCAATTAAGGGAGTTAAAGAAAGAGGTAATAAAGTGGTTGTGAATGTAAAAAGAAAGATGTAACCTGATTTTGTTACTTGAAGAATGGTGAATGCAGTGGAATGATGGTAGTGATGGAATGCAAGTGTGGTGAGGTGGGATGGGTGAGATGCAGATGGAATGAGATGGGATGGTGTGTTGGGCGGCTTGAGAGGACATGGGCGAGCGTGGAGAGGTTCTGCTCGGCCATCAAGTCGCGCCAACTATGAACATTCTTCTTGTGGTATATCTTCTTTACCATTGTGTGGTTCTTAGATTCCTGTTCCAAAACTCAAAACAAAACTAGACATTAACTAAAACTAATTGAAAAGAAAAGTAAAGAAAAACACCTTTCATGGGTTGCCTCCCATGCAGCGCTTCTTTTGAGTCATTAGCTTGACTGATAGGATCTCTTAGTTGGAGATGGGGTAAGGGCACGGCCTGAGACATAGTCTTTTAGTTCTTGTCTCATTGTGACCTTGAGTGTGGTCTGGTGGCTCTCTTGGGCGGCCTTGGGCAGTGATGAGGTAAGACAGCTTGTTTGGTGAGATGAATGGTATGGTCTTGTAAAAGACTGTCTTGTCAACATTGGCTAAGGACATTCGCCGGTTTGGAAGGTCCATGACAGCTCCAGCAGTGGCCAAAAAGGGTCGGCCTAGTATCAATGGTGTGTCACATCCTCCTTGAATGTTTATGACATGAAAGTCCACCGGGATCTTGATATCTCCAATCTCTAGAAGAACATCAACAACAACTCCTCTTGGCTTGGCTATAGTATGGTTAGCAAGTCCAATACTAATTTGAGCAGGTTGCAAGCGTGTGATGCCAAGGAGTTTGGCGGTTTGGGTTGGCATGAGGTTTATGCAAGAGCCAGAATCGCATAGTGTTCTATCAAAGTAATGACCATTTACTTGACAGGGAATAGAGAATTGACCTGGGTCTTCAATCTTGTAGAGGGTCTTGAAGGTTGGCTGAACTTTAGCTTTCTCAAAAAGCTCTTTATGTCCTCAGGTGTCTCTTGCAGTTGTGGAAGAAGGTGGTGAATGGGTAGTGGCGCCAAGCTTGTTTGGAAAGACATGCTGGCTGGAAGAGTTTGGACAAACTGATTGAACTCAGCAAGCTTCTCTCTTGATATGGAATTGACATACCACTGGGTGGTGGTGATGATGGTGGTGATGGTGGTTGATTGACTCCATGAGGGGCAATGGGAAATCGTGCCTTCCTGAAAAAGTTGGTGTATCTCTTCTTTGTTTTCACTAGTTGTGAAAAAGAACTCCACTAGACCATGTTTATCCCAAGCTTCTTCAAAAGTGACATAGAATGGAAGTGATTTCACCTTAGCATTGAACTCTTTAAGCTTCATGGGGCTTATCTTGTTGGGATCAATGGGATCATACTGCCAAGTATCTTCTTCTTCAGTAGGTGGTGATGGTCTTTGCATTGCTTCCAATCTTGGAAGTGTAGAAGCTTGACTTCTTGGTGAGAAACGAGGGTCTCTAGGGCTTGGTGTATCCATGCTCTGTTTTGGGGAAGCATTGATGTCGATGCTCTGCTCTTCATCTTCATCATTCAATTGTTCCTCATACTCTCTTTCTTCTTCTTCATTGTCCTCATGGACTTGAGTAGTGCTTCTTCTTGTGATGGCATTGCAATAAAAGGGAGGGTGGTTGGGTGTTGGACTCCTCTCTCTCTTGTAATTGGCATGAGATGATCCTTCAAGGGCTTGTAGGCGGTTGTAGATCGATCCAAGATGTTTGCTATTGCCATAGCTAGTATCTTCAATTCTCATGCTCTTGTTCAGCAACTCTTGATATTTGGAAGCAACATCAAGCTTAACTAGGGTCAAAGATCGATCATGATCCTCTCTTAACTTCTTAATGTCTTCATCAAGCTTGATCACTTGCTTGAATAGGACTTCAGATTTGTTTCCAAGGCTCTCATGGATGAAATCGATTCTTCTCCATCTTCTTTGTACTCTCTTCTTGATTTCTCAAGTACTCTTGAAGCATCTCTTCAATCTTGGTTTGGCGCGCAGCTTGATAGCTCTCCCTTGGGAAAAATGGTGTCTTGTTTATGTCTGGTGATGATGGATGGTGTTGTGAATAGCTTGGGCGTGGTGGTGGGACATAAACAGGACCTTTCAAATCTGTGAGGAAAGCTCCTTTGTATCCATTCCAAGTCTTGAAAGCATGTTGGGCATTGAACTTAGCCCAGTCTTTGGCTTGTCCAGCTAGAGATAGTTGGAAAAGTTGTATCTTCTTGGGGTTGTCTCCAAGTCCATAGTCATGACAAAGCTGCTCAAAGTTGCATAGATGCTCCTTTGCACATTCAGAAAACTCTCCACATGCTTGATTAGATTCAGGATGGGTGGTATGCCTCCCCATTCTTCTTCATCACGCTCTCTCTCCAGCTGATGAGAGTAGTGGTGGTACTTGGATTTGAAAGGTGGTTTCCTTGCAAATCTCTTCAAGAAAGCTTCTCTAAAATCGATCCATGACTCGATTGTAGAGGTGGTTCATGCTGCGCCCAATCTAGTGCTGGTCCAGCTAGTGATGTGCTGAATAGCATCATCTTCTTCTCAAAGTCAAAAACTCCATAGGAATCACAAAGGTTGTCAAAGTGATCTATGTGCTCCAGCGCATACTCTGAAAACAGATCATGGAATTGATCTCTCTTCACGAACTCGATCAGCTCAGGGTTAATCTCCTCTTCTGGTGTGGCTAGAAGGTACTCTTCTTGGTGTGATGCGGCTTGGCTAGACGTCTCCAGGTCGGCTGCTTCAAGGTAAGGAAGAAGTTTCTTCTTTGTCTTCAAAGTGGATGGTCTTGGAGGACTATCCCATGAAGGTGGTGGTGCTTGAGGGATCTAACATCTCTTGTTCGCTCAAGAGGTGACTTTGAGGTGGTATGTGGCGAATTGGCATCGCCTTTATAGGGGAAGAGGCTTGTGGCTCCTTCTCCATATCTAACTAGGAAAACCTGAAAAGCTAAAAACAAAAAGGAAAAACCAAAAAGGAAAAACAAAAAAATCAAAGAAAAAAGGAAAAATAACAAAAACAAAAAGGAAAAGATGAAACCCTAGACTAGCTCTCTTGCAAGAGCTTGTAGGTGCGAATTGGTCCCCGGCAACGGCGCCAAAAACTTGATCGCGGGATCAGGTCTTCCCCTTTCCTATCCCTGATTCTGCAAGTGCACAGGTCAGAAGTAGTAAACGGGTATCGAACACAAGGACCAGATTGCACACTACAAGTTATGAGTTTGAAAACAAGCTAGCACTACAGGAAAAAATGGTATTTATAGCATCAGATAAACGCTATCTAAAGATATAATAGCGTTGTGTTAAACGCTATATCATCGCCCGCGATAATAGGTCTGACACTTTAGATAGCGGTTTTTAGCATTGCTATTATACTTTTATTTAATATAACGTTCTTTTCAATGCCATTGTATAATATACAATAGCAATTATAATATGTTATTAAATGTTTTATGCATAGCATTTTTATAATTTTACTATAGCGTAAAATTTCTGCAATTATTTATGAAATTAATTTAGTAATTTGAAATTTTTATATTTTCGATAGTATTTCTTTTTTATTCTTTATTTTTTGGGATAAATTGATATATGAAAAAAAATATATATATATATTATATGAAATTATGATACTAAAATGCATTGGCTGGCCCTTCCAAGTTTCTTCTGCCCAACCCTGAGCTCACCACGGTTCTAGGAGGTAAACATTGACTTCAGCCCCCACTGCACACATTAGTTGGGCATGAAGAGGATTTGCGAGAAGAGGAGCCTGAAGCTCGATCGAGCTGAGGATCGAGCTGAGGACAAGCTCAGTGAATGCGGATTTGGGTGAGCCTGAGTGCTATTATTTTGAGGAGTATGAGGCTCCAAGGATGAACCCCTCTGTTGTGGCTGCCCACAAGAGGATTGGACTTCTCCAAAGTTCAACAAGTGGCAAGGGAAAGCCATGGAAAGATGCAAAAGTCCATGGACAAGATGGTGAGCAAGATCAAGAGTTTGGAGAAGAAGGTTTCTGGTTCTTCATCCAAGAAGAAGAAGGCAACCATGGCCCCACTTCCCTAGGAGTAGATCACTCCTCACCACCCAAGGAGGCTCCCTGCCCAAGAGCCTCACAGAGCCTCTTCATTCGAGCCAAGGGAGGAGAAGACAACTCACAGAGAAGGAGGAAGAGCTCTAAGGCCAGACGCTCCAACTCGACCACCGGACTCGATCGAGTCCAAACAGAGGAAACTCAACTCGGTCGAGCTGAGGGTCGAGTTGACCTGGAGGAGCCCCTGTTTGAGAACCCTGGATTCGAGTACGATCCAACGCCCTACCAAGGACTTCTCTCAGACCTGGACCCTACAACCGTTCGAGCAAGCATGCTCCACCAAGGCCAAGGGAGCCACACACACTTCGATGAAGAAGAGGAAGAAGAGGAGCCGCAAGCTCGATCGAGTGACGAACCCGTCGAGTGGAGTGCTCCTGATGGCCGTCTCCTCTCCAGACCACGACCTTGCCTCCCAGTTCTTTGGGGGGCACTGAGGTATCCAAACACCAACCCTTGTATATACCATTTCATATTTTCTTGCATTTTGTTTTTTCTTGGTTTTGCCCTCTTGAATCTTTCACTAAATTTCTCTCACACAAGGGACTGTGTGATTTAAGTTTGGGGGAGGGTTCAAGAGATGATTTAACCTTGTTTTCTTTGTTCTTAGTTTTTCATTTCTTTTGCATAGAAAAACCAAAAAAATCATAAAATTTTCAAAAAATCCAAAAATATTTTCATCTTTTTGCATTCATATTTGTTAGACTTGTTTAGGATTGCATCTTTCACTTGCATTGTTGATTTGACTTTGAAAACTTGTTCATCATTTGCGATTTCTTGAGTGCCCTGTTTTTAGATTCTTTGTGCATTAGGGTGAGATTGATTGAGCAGCAAGAACCATGTTTATCTTGATCATATCACTGCATGCACATCTCATTCAACCATTGCTGTGATTTGATGCATTTCCCTATCTATTTGAACCATAACTTGATCTTTAATTACCAATGCTTGCATTTGATTTCAACTCATGGCTACCACATACATATCTGGACATTCTTTACCTATTTTCATATCCCTCTTGCTTGTCCAGATAGCTGATCTCCATCTTTGAGACAGTTACCACACCTTAAACCTAAGCCTTTTCATTTCAAACCCCATTATTATCTCTTGTGCGAATTGTGAGAACCTTTCTTGGCTTTGCTTAGCATAAGGTGTTGTGTTTAAACCGGCAGGGGCAGTAGTTCTAGTTGTCTAGTTCTCTTGGGATTGTTTTCAGGCTAAGTTTGGGGGTGCCAACTCGAGCTCGATCGAGTTGGGTGTCAAAAACCAGAAAAGTGGTAAAAGTTGGGAAAACCAAAGGAAAAAGAGTTTAGTTAAGTCCAGGGAGTTGGCAGTGTTAAAAAGGGTCTAGTAAAGGTTTGGGAAGTTAAAAAAGGAAGTAAAAAGGGTTCTAAGTAGAATGAAAAGAAGGCAAAGCCTCAAGTGTCAAAAAGGAAAGAAAAGTTCCCTAAGTGTTTAGAAAATCCCAAACCGCTAGATGTTACCTCAAGAAGCCTCTCCCTAGGAAGTTCTTAAAAGAAAAGTGAGCAAAGCTCCTCAGTTTCAAAGGCGAAATGCCAAAAAGGGTAGTTAGGATTTTGTTCTAAAAAGCTCTAAGTGTTGAACTCGATCGAGTTAGGATTAGACGGCTCGAGCTGCTGTTCTTGCATCATCTTTGGTTCTAACACTTAGCCTTCTGCCAAAGCAAAGCCACTTTCTTGAGAGATCCCTGTTACTAAACCACCATACAAAAGAGACCCTCTTTGTCTCTTAACCCATAAACCCTTGAAACCAAATGAGTTGATTGATCTTGCATGTTTTTGGTTCACTGTTTTTGCTTAATGAATGTTAAAGGGATTTGCTGATTTGAATGCATTGTTTGAGTGACTGTGAAGTGGGATTGATGTTGATAAGCATGGTTAAATCTTAATGAATATCTCTCACCTTGTTGCATTCTAGAATCTCTAAGTTGGACATTTAGCAAATCGCTTTTGAGGACATGTTTTTAAGTGTTGAATCAGCTTTTTTCAAACCTCATCTCTTTCTTGTTCTATTTGTTTGCTTGAGGGCAAGCAAAGTTCAAGTTTGGGGGTGTTGATGTACTTGCATTTTACATAGTTTTAGCACATCTTTTATGCATCTTTTGCATAGTTTTAGCATCCATTTGCATCATATCTTGTTCCTTTTCTCTTCTTATGCATTCATGTAGTTTTAGGTTGCATTTGCATACATATGCATGTTTGGTCCTTTGAAATAGGTCTTTTGGAGCATTCTGGAGCATATGGGACATGAGGAGCATGGAGGGACTTGGCACATGGAAGCAGCTCAACTGGACACGCAAAGGAAGAAGGGAGAAGCCATCTTGAAGACCAGCTCGACCATCTACTCGACCAACCGGTCGAGTTCCTCAACTCGACCGGCCAAGCTTCAACTCGATCGAGCTGAGAAGTCAAAGTCAAACCCGAAAAATGTTGCTTCCCCCTTGACTTTCCTTTGACCCTAAACCTAATCCTCTTTGTATTTAAAGGCTAAAAGCCACGAAAAAACACCAAGCTTTAGATTACTTTTTGTTTTAGCTTTTTTTAATTTATTGTCTTTTACTTTTTAGCAGCTCTAATCCCATCTTTGTGTTCTTGAAGCTCTTGCTTCTTGAATCCTTAGATCCTGGATAATCTCTTTGTATTTGCACTTGCTTATTTCAATAAAAGTTGTTTAATTTCATCTCCTCTTTCTTATGATGTCTCTTTTATTGCATTTGCTTGTGTTTACATTCATGTGTAGTGAGTAGTTACCCATTAGGGTTTGAGATGGGATAGATTAGAGGTTTCATATGCTTAATCCTTCTAGCTTATGGTCTTAATCTAGATTCTCTCTCTTTTGGATAGATCTTAAGGCTACATGACCACGCATGTATGCAAATGCAACCTAAAACTAACATGAATGCATAAGAAGAGAAAAGGAACAAGATATGATGCAAATGAAAGCTAAAACTATGCAAAAGATGCATTAAAGATGTGCTAAAACTATGTGAAATGCAAGTACATCACCTCCATACTTGAGTCTTAGCTTATCTGCTCCTCTTCTGTTCTTTATCTCAAGATCAAACTCTTGCAGTAGTAATATCCATCTTAAAAATCTTGTTTTTGCATCCTGTTTGGACAAAAGATACCTCAATGCTGCATGATCAGAATGAACTATCACTTTTGATCCCACCAGGTATGATTGAAACTTCTCAAATGCAAACACAATAGCCAGAAGCTCCTTTTCTGTCGTGGCATACTTGCATTGTGCCTCGTCAAGTGTTCTGCTGGCGTAATAGATCACATGTAGCTTCTTATCTCTCCTCTGCCCGAGCACTGCCCCTACTGCATCGGCACTTGCATCACACATTATTTCAAAGGGTAGTTCCCAGTTTGGACGTTGAACCACTGGTGCACTAACCAATGCATCATTGATCTTAGTGAAAGCTTTGTGACACTCCTTAGTGAACTCAAAGTTGATGTCCTTACACAATAAGCGTGTCAATGGCCTTGCTATATGCGAGAAATATTTAATAAACCTCCTATAGAATCCAGCATGTCCTAGGAAGCTTCTTATATCCTTGACTGTCTTGGGCGGCTGGAGGTTTGTCATGACCTCAATCTTGGCTTTGTCAACTTCTATGCCTCTCTCTGAGATCCGATGTCCAAGCACTATTCCATCTCTAACCATAAAGTGACACTTCGCCCAGTTTAGAACTAGGTGCTTGTCTTCACATCTTTGTAGCACTCATCCAAGATTCCCCAAACATGATTCAAATGAAGAACCATACACTGAGAAATCATCCATGAATACTGATGATAGGATTTGTGTGTGGATGTGAAAAGATATGAAATGAGATGAGTGGAATGCAATCAGTGGTATATGATGAGGTGGTAAGATGCAAACACAAACACAGTCAACAATTCCCTTTAACCATGATAGTTGATGTAGTACAAAGGGTTATCAATCCAAAATGGGAAACTTGTCACTCTTTGAGAATATGAAACAACCAGAAAGTCAAGCAAGCAGTTAAGATTTGAAGTAACACTAACAACCTAAATAAAATGAAAAGCAGTGCAATAAAAGTAAACAAAGCAGTGAAGTATCAGCTCGACCAAGAGCTCGAGTCGAGTCAGAGCAAAGTACCAGCTCGATCGAGTTTAGGGACGAGTTGAGACAAACAAAGCTAAAGGTGACGACTTTAACAAGATAAAGAGAGAATTAGGGTTCAAGACAGGGTTTTGCAATCAAAGGAATCTACACTTAATCAATCTAGCTCTTAAAACTCCTTGTATCAAGGCTTCTCTTGATATTGGGCTTCTCAATGCCTAACCAACCCTTTCCCAAGGTGAAGGTATCAACCAAGGAATGATCTCAGAAACAGGGGGTTAGCCAGTGAGAATCAAACCTTGGAGGCTATAGGATCATTGCCCAAACTAATCCATCCAACCCCTTAGACCTCTATGTCTAGAGCAAGAGATATTGGAGCTCTTAGTGGATCTTTTCCAGCGAATGCCATCACTTTCGTGTGGGGAGTCGCCTAAGGACTTACAAGCCAGGGGTAGTGGTCATGTAGCCTTAAGATCTATCCAAAAGAGAGAGAATCTAGATTAAGACCATAAGCTAGAAGGATTAAGCATATGAAACCTCTAATCTATCCCATCTCAAACCCCAATGGGTAACTACTCACTACACATGAATGTAAACACAAGCAAATGCAATAAAAGAGACATCATAAGAAAGAGGAGATGAAATTAAACAACTTTTATTGAAATAAGCAAGTGCAAATACAAGAGAGATTATCCAGGATCTAGGATTCAAGAAGCAAGAGCTTCAAGAACACAAAGATGGATTAGATCTCTAAAAAGTAAAAGACAATAAATTAAAAGAAACTAAAACAAAATAATCTAAAGCTTGGTGGTTTTTTCGTGGA